TTCCATTTTTATTGAAGTTCACATTGATCAAAGCCTTAGTTTAGTATAGTTTCATGTTAATACTATACCCCCACTATTTTGTTGCATTTTGTGTATCGTGTACTGATTCTATATATACTTCGAGCATATACGTGCTCACTTTTGGAGTAATCTTTAACGTTTTATTTATACAATAAATTTTATACAGAACGAAAAGAAATGATCAAAGATGTCAGTTTGTATGCGTGTTTTACTTGTTAACTTGCAGATGTATTAATAACCACATGACACTCTTTCAATAATTTGTAGAAAATTCATTGATGATAATATTTGTCGATATATGCGATGTAAAATTCTATTAAACAATTGTATAATCTTTGTAAAACAGACGACTGTACAGACATAATACAAATTGCAGCAGCATATGAGCAGAACGATTTCTGTCGTTATATAGTACCAAAAGAAGCTATCAAATGTTCCGCTTGTAAAGTTACCGGTTTTTCAAAAAGTGGCCAAATCTTATATCGGAACGGAGAAATAATGCAAACAGATGACCTGCAAGATAGTCTAAGAGATTTTATCAATTGGTTACCTGACACAATGCAAAGCTTTTTATTCGAGAGTTTTAGTTTATTCCATGGAGAATAATTCTTTCTTTGATAGTTTTGAACAAAAATGTAAGGGTTCTGTTGACTCGCTATCTTTGCTGAAAACTGTGCTACCAGAGAGGAAACAAACGGGTAAAGGTTATAACCAGGAGAGCCTAGTATTTGACATTCTTGGTGTCAAATACGACGCACATAATGCCGTTGGAGATGTTCAAGCATTACAACAACTAGTAGAACATGTGTCGCTTCCCACTGAGAAAGTGGCACAGGCACCACACTCATTCTCAGTGGAATATGTTTCACAGTCTTACGAACGTGAGGGGTCTGATGGTGTTGCCAATCTCCTATCGGAACTTCTTTTTTTGAAAAAACCAGAGTCACAAAAGATAAAATAATTATATTACATCTTTTTTTGAGTCAAGACATTGGGATGATTTCTATTTTTATGTTATTATTTTTGCGTTCATGTACTTACAAAGTATTTTCTTCTGAATTAGTAATTGTTTTAAACATTATTATTGATAATGAACATATCACATTTTTTACAACTGTAACAGTTATAATTTAATTTGAAATACTTGTCCATAAAAGAGGGTCTGACTGGGGTTTACGGAATACGGAATAAAAGGCAAAAACTGCAGAATAACAGGCAAAAAAAATAAAAGAATAGAGAATGATGAGGTGCTTAAATATAAAGAATAAAGAATACAATACTGGTAGTACAAAATAAAAAAATAATAAATGAAGGACCCTCTATCCAGACCCTTATGATAAAAAGAACCTATCAATACAAAACACATAATCATCATGCGTAATCAACACCAAGAACTTTGAAAATTCATACCATGATAACTTGACGTTATGTAATAAAAATGAAGACGTCACGATTTTTGATGTTTTTTTTTTCAAAATGTTGAGGTTGCGTCGTTTCTAGAGGGAAAACGAAGTCGGTGACCATATATTTTTTTCACATCATCTTATTTGTTAGACATAGAGGAAGAAATCATCATTTTAAAAAAAAATTCTATGGAGTGAATCTCGTGATTTATACAGGAAACCGAAAAGAGTAGAAGAAAAATAAGGATTTTCCCTATATACTCAATGTAATTTAGTACCCTCTCGGACCATTTTAAAAATGGCTTTTTCTCGAAAACGAAGTCGGTGACATATACTTTTTTTTTAATTTTCTGATGTATATTTTCAATATCTAATTGAATTCTAAATTTAAAAAAAATCTATGGACTGGTCATTTACTGATCCTTGACCTTAATACACCTTCAATAACAAATAATAGGTATGGAAATGCCTTTATCTTTATCATTATTATAGCCTTGCAGGTATAAATGACTGTTTTCTATGAAAAATTCTGATAAGACAACATCTATAATAGCCACTTTTATGAGGTTTGCCTCATTCCCAGAGATAGGTGTTAATAATTCCTTTCAAGCACAAGTCCAAGAAACTAGAAACCTGCTTCTTAATTATGTCAATAAAAAAGTCAATTATTTTTTTCTTAATTCCCTGAATCAAACCAGAGAATCTATAATAAACTTATCAATAATTTTGTAAAGTACTTTGTAACAAGAATGTGTCCATAGTACAGGGATGCCCTGCCACTGGCACTATCATTTTCTATGTTCATTGGACCGTGAAATTGGGGTCAAAACTCTAATTTTGCATTAAAATTAGAAAGATCATATAATAGGGAACATGTGTACTAAGTTTCAAGTTGATTGGACTTCAACTTCATCAAAAACTACCTTGACCAAAAACTTGAAGCAGGACAGACAGACAAACAGACGAACGGACTAAAAATAAGACATTTTATTAATTCTCTATAATATTCCCTAATTACGGTATACAAAATTTCTGAAGTTTCAAGGATATGACAAATCCATGATTTTACAAATTTACTGTAATAAATGAAAGTTTTCTACCTTCTCATAAATAAAACTACCAGTATATACAAAGACCTAATAACACCAATGCCAGATTAACAGCCTATGTCTCACAATTCGCCATAAATGAAGACATGAAGATACATGCATGGTGACAACGAGGTGTTGTGTGGGTTATAAAAACAAAGTATCCCCTAATGAAGTACATCAGAACAGTTTTTAAAACATTTACTTGTAATGCAAAAACATTTCTCACAGATTAATTTGAAATGCCAAAAACATAATCCACAGATTAATGTGAAATACGATCAAGTTGAACTGTGAGCTACTGCTCATTTATAATACCCCTCTTATAAATATTCAGTTAATAGGAAGTTGATAAGTGATGAAAATGCAAATGCATCACCTGGTATAACATGTGCACATGAAGCGTGATACATGTACCAAATTTCAGGAAGATGTGGTTTATAATTCCTGTGAAAAATGTGACGAAAATTTCATATATAGACGCCAACGTTATGTGTAAGCCTGAGATTCCTAGTTCCTGAGAAAAATGCAACAAAAATTTCATACATGTACTTGTGTAAGAATACATAGGTATTTGATAACTTGTGACAGGAAATTGATGAGTGATAAACATGAAAATGCATCACACAGTACTAGTATATCAATTTTACAAAGTGAAATCAAATTTGTAGGAAGCTTTGATCTGTAGTTCCTGAGAAAAGTGCAACGAAAATATCATGGGACAGATGGAAATACAAGACAGACAGAATAATGGTCAGACAGATGGACAAAAAAAAAAGGACAGGCAGGGTTAACCAGTATACCTCCATCCTTTGATACGTTGGCTTAAAAACATCACTTGTAAGAAAAAACAAGTATGCATGTGTTTTGTGTTTTAAAATATGCCCCAATTCGAAATTCAAAGTATCAGAATACAGGAAGCAGGTGTCTGAGAGATCAAAAAATGTACCAACACCTTACAATGTCAAGCTGCTGATCAAATATGAACTCATTCTGTTCAGTTAGTAATGTAGCAATGTGTTACTAAAATTTTTAAATTCATTCAACATAAAGAAAATTCAAAGTATCAGCAAACAGAAGTAGGTGTCTGACATAAGAATAAGGAGATAACGAAGAAGAAAAAAAAATTATAGGTCACTGTAAGGTCTTCAACAACAAGAAAAAACCCATACCATATAGTCAGCTATAAAAGGCCTGACATGAAAATTGTGAAACAATTCAAGAGAAAACTAATGGCCTAATTTATACAATACATTTTACGAAGAAACAAACATGGCAGACATGAACCAATGACAACCACTGAATTTCAGGCTCCTGACTAGAAGAATGTGGTGAGGTTAATCATGGTTTTGAACATTGAACTCTTCTCTAACCTGGCACAGTGGTGTAACAGCACAACATATGAACAAACTGTAATAAACAGCTGTGCCAAGAGCTCATGGTACATCCAGGATGATCCTCAATGTGCATATTGAAATTGTTGCAAAAAAAAAAATAGCTCATAGAGAAAAATGCATGAGGATACCTTTATACGTGTAAAATATGACTGTTGAAAGAGTCCCATAACTCTGGAATGACAAAGCAGAAAATTTGAAAATCAAAAGTGATTCTTCATTCACTAATCACTTATTTGTAAAAATTTGATGCAAGCATACTAGAGCTAGTGCATAACATTTAAAAATGCCTTTTATTTAACTGATGGTTAAAGTCCCACAAGTGTGTTATATTCGCCACTTAAAACAATTATGTAGAGTTTCCAATAAGTCCATCCGAACAACTCAAGTTATGCAACAACATGTGAAAAATTCATCTAAATCTGACAATTAATGTCAAGAACTCTGGAACCACAAACAGATAATAATAAGAAATAATCTTGGAGCTTCATTTTATCAGTCCCAATGATAATGTAAAGTTTTGAGTAAATCTTTCCAGGCATACTGCAGTTAGTGTCCTTTATGTTAAAAATTACCTTAATTCAAATGGTTAAAGTCCCGTAACTCTGGAATGACAAAGCAGAAAATTTTCAAAATTAAAAGGGAGCTTTCTTCTGTCAATCCAAATAACTAACGGTATCTTAAAATTACATGAGAATTGGTTAAAACAATTTTGAGTTATCATACAAAGTGTTGACAAACGGATGGATGGACATTGGTATACCATAATATATCCTGTCTAAAAATAACGTTTAAAAATCAGTTGCAAATGGCTTAACTCAATAAATCGGCACTAAGCAAAACATACCAACTAGCTTAAAAACATTGGACGCAAAGTACAGATATAAGAGTACTTGCAGTTAATGAAAGCTAGTTCAACGCCAATTACAATTGATAAATATATCATGTTTTCCCAGACTAACAGTAAAGTATCAATCAGTACAGAATTAGTGTAAAGATGTCATGCTTATTACCATAATCTAAAGAATAAACTAAACAAAAGATTCCCAAAGAAAGACCCATATCATCTATAACTTTTTTAAGTAATTAGGAACTTTCAACATTGTGATATTTATTTATATACTTAAGAGTTTCTATTACTAAATATTCAATAAATTAAGAAAAACAGACAAAAGTTACATCCATCTATTGCACAGCTAGCATAATTTTCATAAAAATTTGCATATAACATAGTCAATTTTTAATCCTAGAATTCCTTAAATCCATACAAAACTACAATTACAGATAACATATGAGTTTGATATTGATGAAACTAAAGAGAACGAAATCTGAAATTATCATTTCTAACTTATAACTAAACAGCAGTATACATTAAGTGGTTACATTGATTCCAGTTCATAACCAAATATCTAATCAAACATTTGAATTTCTGATCTGATCTGGTATGGTTAAACTAGTTGCAGTTCAATATTCATCAGTGAAACCAGTCTTATCTAAACTCTTTACAAAACAGAAACATGTCTTAACTAACAAAATTTCCTGTCAAAGTATTACATGCATCAAAAATACTGAACTCCAAGGTAAATTCAAAAAGGGGGAAATTGCTAATTATATTTAGTTTATTATAAGTTTACTGATACCCATATTAGAAGAGCTAAAATAAAAACCTCTTGTTGAAGGCATCACTGTGACTTTGAGATGAAGAACAGTTATACAAGCACTGTTCCTTTGCTTTTTGTGTGTTTTTTGCTGTGAATGTACTGATTTTGTGTCATGGATGTTAAGTAACCCTTAATAAAATGTATATTATCATTTCACAGTACTTTTTTGTCTCATCTTCGTTGTTCTACAAAAATTCTGTTATTGAACAGGTTACTACACAAATTTTGTTATCATACAGATTTCTACATAAATTCTGTTATCCAAAAGGTTTCTACATATATTCTATTATCCAAAAGGTTTCTACATAAATTCTGTTATCCAAAAGATCTCTACATAAATTCTTTAATACAAAAGGTTTCTACATAAATTCTGTTATCCAAAAGGTTTTTACATAAATTCTGTTATCCAAAAGAGCTCTATATAAATTCTGTTATTGAATAAGTTTCTACACAAATTCTGTTATCCAACAGATTTCGACATAAATTCTGTTATCCAAAAGATCTCTATATAAATTCTGTTATCCAAAAGATCTCTATATAAATTCTGTTATCCAACAGGTTTTTACATAAATTCTGTTATCCAAAAGGTTTTTACATAAATTCTGTTATCCAAAAGGTTTCTTCATAAATTCTGTTATACAAAAGGTTTCTACACAAATTCTGTTATCCAACAGATTTCGACATAAATTCTGTTATCCAAAAGATCTCTATATAAATTCTGTTATCCAACAGATTTTGACATAAATTCTGTTATCCAAAAGATCTCTATATAAATTCTGTTATACAAAAGGTTTTTACATAAATTCTGTTATCCAAAAGGTTTTTACATAAATTATGTTATACAAAAGGTTTTTACATAAATTCTGTTATCCAAAAGGTGTCTTCATAAATTCTGTTATCCTAAAGATCTCTATATAAATTCTGTTATCCAACAGGTTACTACACAAATTCTGTTATCCAAAAGGTTTTTACATAAATTCTGTTATACAAAAGGTTTTTACATAAATTCTGTTATCCAAAAGGTGTCTTCATAAATTCTGTTATCCAAAAGGTTTCTACATAAATTCTGTTATCCAAAAGATCTCTATATAAATTCTGTTATCCAACAGGTTTCTACATAAATTCTGTTATCCAAAAGATTTTTACATAAATTCTGTTATCCAAGAGGTTAAGTCCATACATTCAATTACTCAAAAGTTTAGGTATAAATTCTATTAACTTCTTTCTTACAAAATAATCTGAAATATGTTTAATAGTTAATCTCAATCTACCTTGTTCATTAGAAAAAAATAAGACTTGTAGCAAACATGCATTGTAAAGCAGTTCAGCATACCGGTAGTACAAAATATATACATGATATGATATTTGATATCAAATTTTAACAACAAAATACAGTTTAAATGATGAAATTGTAAAAAATATGATTAAGATGATCTTACAGAATAATAACTTATACAATACTTGTCACTTACTGTACCTGACCTACATGACATGAGTGCCAATAAAAATATAGAAACATAGCATCAAATAAACTGCCACCTATTATTAAGCTTTATAAGATGTAAAGCAAGCCCAAATAGAACTACTAGAAAATATATCAACTTATATGAACATGCACGTTTCTAAAGGAAGCCCAAATAGAACAACTAGAAAAAATATCATATGAAAATACACTTTACAATAAATATTCAAAATCACTAGGACCCATTATCATTTGAATTTTACCATCTACAAACCTTTGTTTAAAAAGTAATGAACAAAATTCACCTTAGCAACAACTTACTGGATATTTATGTATTTTTTTTCTGTTAAATTTTTTTCTTCTTCTGATATTGATTTCCAACTTTGTCTTATTTATAGAATAGCTAATCTAAGAATTCAAATAGAGAAAAATATTCAACGAGTGACCGAACAACACATTAATTCACGAATGCGCTTAGCGCATGAGTTAATTATCAGTGTTGTTCGGTCACAAGTTGAATATTTTTCGATATTTGAATTCTTTGATTGGTTATTCTTTTTATTGCATTGGCAAATGGCTTTTTTCAATGAAATTAATGTAGAAAATTTAAGGAACTATATCTTTTTTATACGCATTCACACTTTGTTTTGATCCGACGTTATCGACGTCTTGACAACGCCTATTGTTGTATGACGTCAGAGAGTGAAATAACCACGTTTATTTCACATGTGAAATTATCGGTTTTTATTTGACTGGGAAATCAATGTAATTCATTGCTACCAATGTAATAAGATATCTTGGAACCAATAGATTTTACAGTATTTTTACATTTTGTTTTCTTTGTCTTCACCTTGTACAAGAATGTTTTCACCTTCTTAAGGTGGTACCTAACACTACAGGGAGATAACTCTGTAAAAATCAGCTAAACGTTTTAATTACGTTGTATTGTTAAGGAAATATTAAGCTTCTCAATGATCAAAATTAGTGTTTGTCAAACTGCACTATAACCAAAGAAATTTTTCTGATAAAGTGGTTGGTTCAAATTTTTTGAAATTTTTATATTTTTGTCAAAGGGTCAAAGTAAACATTTTGTCAATATTTTAGGAAAATTAAACGAGCCAAATTAATGTTAGTCAAGGTGTTCGGTACCACCTTAATATATCTGATTCCCTCTTAGTTCTAGTATGCTTAATATTTAAAAAAAAACCATATCAAATTACACCATTTGATTGGTTACACTATAATGACTAGTAAATGTCTCAATATTTATACTTCATTTACAAAAATCAACAGTATGATTACAAACAAGAGGCTCTCAAGAGCCTGAATCGCTCACCTGTATTTCAGAGGAGAAGATTTTTAAATGTTAGCAAACTTGATGAACAAATTGTGTAAAATTGTCTTTAAAGGGCAATAACTCCTTAAGGGGTCAATTGACAATTTTGGTCATATTAACTTTTTTGTAGATCTTACTTTGCTGAACATTATTGCTGCTTACAGTTTATATATATCTATAATAATATTCAAAATAATAACAAAAAACTGCAAAATTTTGTTAAAACTACCAATTCGGTGGCAGCAACCCAACAATGGGTTGTTCGATTCGTCTGATAATTTCAGGGCCGATAGATCTTGACCAATTAAGCAATTTTACCCCATGTCACATTTGCTCTAAAAGATTTAGTTTTTGAGATATAAGCCAAAAACTGCATTTGACCCTTATGTTCTATTTTTAGCCATGGGGGCCATGTTTGTCGATGGATACAAACTTTGGATACAATTTATAAACAAGATACCCTAAGGAACATTTAGTTAAAGTTTGAAGGTAATTGGCCCAGTAGTTTCAGAGGAGAAGATTTTTAAATGTTAGCAAACTTGACGAACAAATTGTGTAAAATTGTCTTTAAAGGGCAATAACTCCTTAAGGGATCAATTGACAATTATGGTCATATTAACTTTTTTGTAGATCTTACTTTGCTGAACATTATAGCTGCTTACAGTTTATATATATTTTCATGTTTGTCGATGGATCAAAACTTCGGATACAATTTATAAACTAGATACCCTAAGGAACATTTAGTTAAAGTTTGAAGGTATTTGGCCCAGTAGTTTCAGAGGAGAAGATTTTTGAAATAGTTTACGACGACAACAGACGACGGAAGCCAAGTGATGGCATAAGCTCACATGGGGCCCTTTGGGCCCCGGTGAGCTAAAAAGTAACAAGAAGGATAAATGCCACCTTTATATTGAACACTTTTTAGTAATAAAATCAACATAAAAAAATGGTTCCATAAAAAAAAAACCCAAAAGCACTTTTGAAAAAAGATAACAAAGCACTATCGAAAAACAGATCTGCAAGTAGTATCAGAGTGATAAATGAAATAAGGAATATATAGTTTAAAGAATGGTGAAAATTTGAAAAACTACAAGAACTATTTACAAAAAAAAGAATACAATAACAAAAAACCTTAGAACTGACAATGTATATTTTCTATTCCATTTGATGATACGTGTACACATAATGTCAATATGTAGAATAACATTGCAATATACAGAAAATGTCTAAAGTTTACATCATTTACCACAATTATGGCATGTTGAATCTTAGGCCTAAGTGTGCAGAATATGGAACATCCACTTAACATAATTGTAAAATGGTTAAAAAAATCTATATTCAACGCTTCAAAAAAAACCACTTTCTTATCTCAGAATGGCTAAGCCAGGAGGAGCAACATACAAACAATACGATGTTGAGAAAAGACTGACTCCATCTATCCAAATCTTAAGAGAATGTTTACTACTGATACCTTTGTTCGTTTGCTTTAAACTAAAAAATTAACACTTTTTTTTTATTTCTAAAAGGATAGATAAAAATATTTTTAGAAATTTGATCATATCCCTTTTGATGTCAAGAAGTAGTAATTAATCTGTTTCTGGAGATAATTGTTTATTTGATGTCTTTGCCTCATTCATAGTTGCCAACTGACATGATATTTTCGTGTAATACACGCTTTTTCAACGGTTTACACGCGAGGATTTTGTCACATGGTGTGTACACGCGTTTCGCCACTTTACACGCAATTACACGCTTTTTCGTTGTTTTGATTTTTTGGTCGTTAGTGATATCGCGATTCTCGGGTTTTTTCATTATAAGACAAAAAATACCGAAAATTTCGAAGTAATATCGTCGCCATTGTTTATTTTTTTATATGGACGAACAGCAAAAGCCCTTAAGGTAAGTAATTTGTGATTAGTTTTTACGATTTTGTGACTTTCTTTCTTTCAAATTCACTTAGGGGAAATGTCGACAGAAATAGTTCGCTTTCAGGACCTGTACCGTCGTCTAAAGAGCCGATTTCTAAGCGAAAACGATGTGTACGTACCAAGATAAATTTCAAGATTTACAAATTATATTTGGGAGTTCAAGTTTAAATTATCGAGAGACGGTAACGCATTGTGCACCCTATGTTGCAATCATAACAATACATGTGAGAGAACTACAATGTAGCAATTTGATTAAGCATTTAACGTGCTTAATGGTAATCAAATAATAAAATACTTTTCTTTTTCAGTTTCAAATCTAGCCAACAGATTCCCACAGGCCAAAGGGGATGAAAATATCACTGAACTGTTGGATCAGTTCTCATAGTACCAGCTGTCTTCTGATGAACTACCCAGTTTTGACCAGACAATAGCCTCAGAGACAATAGCAACATAATTGTATAGTTCGTTGGGAGCAATGACAAAGATAACAGATGACATTTTAGATGGCAAAAAAATGTTATGACACTCTTTCAAAGCTTGATCAAGCTATTTAAGTACAGCCAAATATCAATTCTGACTGCGAGAGAACATTTTCAATTATAAAGAAATCTACACTGAATTCTGTCTCATCAGAACTCGACAATGATTCATTGTGTGCCTTGTTATCAAGTAAATGTAATCAAACTGGCAGTTGTTTTGAATATGTGCCTAAGCCTATGGTATTGCTTTAAAAGCAGCAAAACAGACCACTGTTGAATACAATAAAAGTTTACTGTAGAATATTGTTTTATTATATATTAACAAATTTGTATAATCATGTATTGTGAAATAATGAACATTGTTCATATAAAAAAGTCCGCATCTTCGTCGCTCGTTTTCACACGCTTTTTGACATGTCATGTCCTGCCATGACATGATTTCTCATTGTCAGAGGTTGGCAAGTATAGCCTCATTGCTAAACTATAATGTGGTCATCAAAAATCTGAAATTAAGTTAACGATAGTGTGTTGCCTATCTAGATATATCTGTTTAGATCAATAAGACTGTAAAAATAAATTTTGTAGGATACCTTCATTTACATTAACCTGACCTTTCTGACACATTAAGAGATATAGAATCAACTATATAAGCCATGATGTCAGACATTAAAAAAATTTAAATGACCAATCCCAAAAATGTACCATATGATTCCATAACTTGCTATACTACAATGGTGCATGGTATATACATTTTTGTACCATAAAAATGACCAAGATAATAAGACAGGTTGCTATTTAGTACTATCTGATTTCATTTTTACATAATCTTACAGTTAAGAGGTAATGATTCGGGCTTCCATTATAACATTTGCAATAAGCTTTCAAAAAGATTTAACAAAAACAATCAACAAATTGTTCAACAAGTAACTTATTAGACATATAGTTGCTCTGTTTCTGTATTGCTGTCTTATGGACGTGGAACATTTGGCACAATTTTGCGCATTGAGTAATATTTGACTACTTGTTGTGGAACCTCTGCCAACACCTGCTTTGCCAACTCAGCTGCTGATGCCTGCAAAAGAAATTTTTTTAACAGATTAAGATGTGTCGTTAGAATGTAAGATTACTTTCCATAGCTTTCTGATGAAGGAATATATTTTAGAAACTATTATATTTCTATAATATTACTACACCTTATTGCTATTTGTCTGCTATTACTGGCCATGACAGACTTTACTGTAAAATTTTGAAATGATGAAAAAAGAGGTCTGATAAAACATTTGCAAAAGTGATTGTTGTCTGACATCGATAGTTCAAGAGGTATAAAACCTGGGTCAAGTATCTCTGATTCCGAAATAGCGATAAGGTTAATCTGATTATAAAAATGTCCCATTCATTTATACTTACTCGAAGCTGTTCAGTACAAAATTCAAAGAAAATTATCAAATAATTCTCCACAAAACTTCAAATTCAATTCTATAATGCATATATCCCTACATCAATTAGTTTTTATTGCAGTTGTTTCAGTGTGTCTTTAATAAAAAAAAATAAGCATGAATGTGTTTTGTCATTTCTGTTGTTTGTTACATTGATGTCAAAAAAATAAACAATAAACTGTTAACACAGAAATATGTCTTGCCTTTTTGTACTTTTGATAATGCAAATGTTGAAATTAAAATAGCAATACTTTAACATGTAAGTTATGCAAATATTCAAAGTCAATGAACCATGACTGAAGGTACATGGCAAAACAAACTACATGGAAATGAGATGTGCCAATGCTAATACAACTGCATACCAAATACCATAGACTTAATTATCATAAGTCGTTCCCTTTCAACAAACCTAAACACCAACATTGACCATGTTGACTTGTAAACTATGTTAAAGTTTCAAAGTCAATGAACCATGACGAGGGGGTGGGGCGATATAATCTCCATGGAAACAAGACTTGCAAATGCCAATAAATTTACATACCAAATATCATTGACTTAACATAAGAAGTTCATCTTAAACTGATCTAATCACAAACTAATACATGTAAACTAAGCAAAAGTTTCAAAGTCAATAGACCATGACTGAGGGGACGGGACCAAATATTCTCATGGAAATGAGATGTGCTAATGCTTTTACAATTGCATACCAATTAACATTGGCCTACCACTAATGGTTCCCCTTGAACTGACCTAATCACAAACTAATACATGTAAACTAAGCAAAAGTTTAAAAGTCAATAGACCATGACTGAGGGGACGGGACCAAATATTCTCATGGAAATGAGATGTGCTAATGCTTTTACAATTGCATACCAATTAACATTGGCCTACCACTAATGGTTCCCCTTGAACTGACCTAATCACAAACTAATACATGTAAACTAAGCAAAAGTTTCAAAGTCAATAGACCATGACAGTGGTAGCGGGACCAAATATTCTCCATGGAAATGAGATATGCCAATGCTTATACAACTGCATACCAAATATCATTGACTTACCACTAGTGGTTCCCCATAAACTGACCTAATCACAAACTAATACATGTAAACTAAGCAAAAGTTTCAAAGTCAATAGACCATGACTGAGGGGGCAGGGCCAAATAATCTCCATGGAAATGAGATGTGCCAGTGCTAATACAACTGCATACCAAATATCATTGACCAACCACTAGTGGTTCACCTTAAACTAGACCTAATCACAAACTAATACATTGTTGTAGCCTCCGCTGTCGACACCGGAAACAGCATACCTATGTCTTGCTTTTTGACTCCGTTAAGGTGAGACAAAAATGAGTTTCTTCTTTTCTGTTTGTTTGCTTTCTTGTTGTCATGTATCCAACATGTCCCTTTTTCTATATATAATACAGGATCAAAGGATTTATAAGTCTAAATATACTTACTTTACAGTAAATAAGAAACGATTATGTGCATTTATAAATATGATTGCTGATCAATAGACAATAAAATGCTCCGCTGGGCGCAGCTTGAAATGACCGCAGAGGTCAAACCCTGAATAGTTGGGGCAAGTATGGACACAACATTCAAGTTTGATACAGCACTGAATTTGGATTGTGATTAAATATTTGACACAGCATAGGTTTCAGACACAGAATGAATGTGGTCTAAGAACTTAAAAATTTTTTAATTTACCTATTCAAACCATATCATTATTATTTGCTTTTATATATAAATCAGAAATAACCAATTTAAAATGGAAAATTTTAAAGAAAAAAAAAATCCCTCCCCTAAAATTTTTGAACCCCCCTTATGATTCATCACCCCAAACTCAATCCCAGCCTTCCCTTTGTGGTATGGTACCTTGCAGTACAATTTCAGAGAGATCCATACACTTGAACACAAGTTATTGTCTGGAAACTAGAAAAATGCTTGTTTTTTGGCCCCTTTTTGGCCCCAAATTCCTAAACATTTAGGGCAATTACCCCCAAACTCAAACCTTGCTTTCCTTTTGTGATATTGAACCTTGCAGTACAATTTCATAAAGATCCATACACTTACACACAAGTTATTGTCCTGAAAGTAGAAAAATGCTTGTTTTTTGCCCCTTTTTGGCCCCTAATTCCTAAAATTTTGAGGCAATTACCCCCAAAATCAATCACAGCCTTTCCTATGTGGTATGGTACCTTGCAGTACAATTTCAGAGAGATCCATACACTTGAACACAAGTTATTGTCTGGAAACTAGAAAAATGCTATTTTTGGCCCCTTTTTGGCTCCTTATTCCTAAACTTTTTGGGCAATTACCCCCAAACTCAATTCCAGCTTTCCCTTTGTGATATGGAACCTTATAGTTCAATTTCAGAAAGATCCATACACTTACACACAAGTTATTATCATGAAACTAGAAAAATGCTTGTTTTTTGCCCCTTTTTTGGCCCCTAATTCCTAAAATTTTGAGGCAATTACCCCCAAAATCAATCCCAGCATTCCCTTTGTGATATGGAACCTTGTGGTACAATGTCAGAGAGATCCATACACTAACACACAAGTCATGTCTGGAAGTTACAAAAATGCTTATTTTTGGCCCCTAATTCCTTAACTGTTGGTACCATAACCCCCAAAATCAATCCCAACCTTCCTTTTGTGGTATTGAACCTTATGGTAAAATTTCATGGAGATCCATTCACTTAAACTAAAGTTAGAGTGCGAAAACCAATGTGTCTTCACACGACAACGACGACGACGACAACGCCAACGTCATACCAATATACGACCAAAAAATTTTTAATTTTTGCGGTCGTATAAAAATATGTGATTAATAAATTTGATTTCAGTAAATGCTTCATAGAGTAGTGCAAGTGGAATTTAAAATATAAACCACAAAAAAATCATGATTATAAACAAGGATTATTAGCTACAATAGATTAGTTATAGATTGAAACATTATAGTAAATTAGTTGTCAAATAAATAGGATTAATTGAGTTTAAAAGAAATTATTTTGGTCAATATGCACAATTTATTTAGAAAAGTGGTTATAGTAAACTTTGACAATTTCACAAAAATGGTCTGTTGTCATTTCTATGTACCAAGTGTCAATTGTCATCCAGTATACAGTTACAGCCACAAGATATATGCACCACTTACCCTAACAAGTTTACAATAGGTCATTCAACATTTTACAGGTAAATATTGCATTATCCTTGCAAAAGTACTGCTAAGCATGCTTTGAAATTTATCCAAAAAGTGTCTATTGCTACTCCTATCAGCACAAAGTTTGTAAACAACACCAATTTTGATATCGTGATATAACTCCCTCCCCTCCCCCCCCCCCAAAAAAAAACAACACAAAAAACTTGTATTAATGCTATTTTGTACACACTCAAATAGTTAAGCTGTAAACATATGTCAACAGCCATTGGAAAATTAATGGAAAATATTTTTTTTCTCACAAAAATTCAATGCATCCTAAGTAATTACATCTATATTCTATGTCTATCTCTAAAACATCATCCCATCCATCCTAAGTATTTACATCTATATTCTATGTCTATCTCTATAACATCATCCAATCTTTTCCATTACTAATAGTTAACTTCTTTCAATTTTGAAATAACAACATGGAGTAGTAATGTCTTTGTTTTCAAAATGATAATTTTGTTCTTTAAATTGTGCAATATTGACCAAATGATTACCTCAGTTGCCCAATAATAAACAAAGAAAAAGATTTAAGTTATAGATAAAAAGCTACAGCCTTAAAGTATAGTGGGGAGAACATAGCTTAAGATTCTAACAGTGAAAAAATCACTTGTTCAAAATACTTTACAAATGCAAGTTCATAAAGATCAAAATATATACACATTGTAAAAAGATCAGTCAAATGATATCTGTTAAAAAATCATGCAAAAATAAAGATCAAAATAGAAAAATTACAACATAACTGCATTGGTACTAGTTGACTTCAAGTTTACTGCAACAATAAATAAATCCAGAAACACCAAAGATTCAGCTGCATGAGGTAAACAATATTATTTTTGCTGACAGTGCATAAAAAACGGTGCAGAGTTCCCCTCCCTAAGTAGTTTGTGGGAATCAGTGCCATTTTATAACAAAAAAGAATTGGCAAGTTTTTAGAGCCATAACTCGATCATTTCATCCAAAGTAAAGGGTCACTATCAACCGAAAGTCAGATGGTACATAACATATTGCCTGAAGGTAATATAATCACAGGCAAAATATTATAAGACCTGGTTAAAAAAGTGGAGAATTTCTAGTATTGATAAGTTTCTAAAGTAAAAAAAATGTCATAATTTTGATCTGTCCAGAAGTTCAAAGGTCAGGGTCATATAAAATATCATATTACATGCCACACAAGATAAAGGCTATGAACCACCAAGTCAATTATTTCATAAGGCTTACTGAAAAGATGGTTCTGAACAGAACAAGGCTTTATGAGTAGAATTTCAGTCTATTTTAGCTACAACTGTGTCACTGACCTTTGAACTTATTTACCCAACTTTGATGAAGACTAGATTGATGCCATACATCATATCAAATACTGAGTATGACATTGTCACAGTAATATTATAACTTTGTACCATAAAATATTTCAATGCAGGCATAAACAAACAGATAAAATATCAGGTTTTTAAAAGCACACAGATGGAAAGATAAACTGCTGCAATAAAATACTTTGAAATCTGTCAATACTTTATAAAGAAATATTTAGTCCCAAAAGCTCAAACATTAAGTCCCGGAGTTCTAAAAATTGTTTGAATATTTTTTTCACAATAAAGAACATTACTAAGAAGACAGATTTCACTGTATGTGCAGGCAATAACATGCTAAACATACATTTGGATCATTTCCGCTTACTCTTTTAAAGTCTCTAAAAGGTACAAATTGTACAATGTCTCGCTGAGCTGGCTGACCATTTGGTCCTTTCAGAACACCATCATCACCATCAAGAAAGTTCATGTCAGCAAAGTCAGCATTACCAACTCCAACAATGATCAGTGACATGGGAAGACCAGAACAATACACAATAGCTTGACGAGTGGCATCCATATCTGTGATCACTCCATCTGTCAGTAGCAGAAGAGCAAAGTAAGCCTGAAATTAAGTCATGCATTACAGTGAATTTATCCACTAGCTGGTCTGCAGTGAAATACCAATTGCTAGCTATAATGGCAATGCAAAAAACATATCAATGACCAATTATTTTCATAATAATACTGAAGGTATTGGAAAATAGTAACCATTTAAAACAAAAAATCTTAAAAAAAAAACATGAATTACACAAATGATCCCTTTGGCAAACCAGTAAATAAAAAAAAATCCCAAGTGAGCTTCCTTTCATCAATCCCAACAATAAAATAAAGTTTGGAGAAAATCAATTCAGGAATACTAGTGTTAGTGTGCAATTTGAGAAAAAAATTGCATTACATCCAACGGTCAAAGTTCTGTAACAATGGAATGACAAAGCCAAAAATCACCAAAAATCAAAAGGGAGCTTTCTTCCATCAATTCAAATGCTGTGTTAAAGTTATAAATGAATTAGATAAAGAGAAATTGAGTTATCATAAGAAGTGTTGGAAGATGGATGAACGGACATTGGTATTCCATAATACATCCTGTTGCCAACAGGCGTATAAAAACCAATATGGATCTTCCTCTTAGCATGGTGATTATATATATTAGTCATATTGAAAATTTTCTAAGTCTCATTGTTGATGTTGGTTACAACTAAGGAAACATATTCTGACACTAAGATTTTTTTAAAAGAATGATATTCAGTTTTACATTCTGAATAAAATTAACCAATTTCTGAATTGCTCTTAATGAGTTGGTATTGAGGAAACTTTTGTCTATCTACCAATTGGTCAGCTATTTTCTGGTTTCACTCTACCAAACTTTTAAAATATTCACATATGCAAAAGATGTTTAAATATTTGAGTAATTTGACTCTCACCATTTCCAAGTTAGACTTTTATCATCTGAAAATTTTTTAAGGGGTTCTGCGGAACCCTGTGTCTCGCCTGCGATTACTGCTGTCAGTGTAAAAGTGTAATGTTGACTTAAAAAGTGATTCCATTTATCAGTAAAAAGTAAAACAACAAAAGTACCGAACTCAAAGGAAAATTCAAAACGGAAAGTCCCCTATCAAATGGCAAAACCAAAAGCCCAAACACACCAAACGAATAGAAAACATCTGTCATATTCCACGCTTGGTACACACATTTCTCAATGTAGAAAATGGTGGATTAAACCTGGTTTTATAGCTAGCCAAACCCCTCACCAATACAGAATTTAAAATACAGAATCTTTTTGCTATTTTGGTAATTGTTTAGGACTTAAAAATCGAATGTATTAATTTGATTGTAAACTACGAAATGAATTATGAATTACGATACGAAATTTCTTCAGATTATTAGGTTGCAGTTAATATTCATGTATTTACTTTTAAACTTGTAAAGGGATTCAGTATTATCGATAATTGTTGTACTCAAGTTGTTTAGCAGGAAATTATATTCTGTTTTACGTCTTATTGTATACTCTTTCAAAAAGGGGGATGCTGATTGTGTAAGTCAACATAAAAGCATGTGTTCAACTTGTTAAAATTTTTTCTTCGAAACTGGATTTAAAATTTATTTTTTAATCTTTATTTTCATTAGCATTTGCTGAAATGTAATTATAATAAATAATGCAATTACTTGTCTATCTTGATGAAGTGTTCTCCTGTCAGGTGTGTCGATCTACCTGTACAAGTGATTAGCTATCTTAAGCAGGATATCCCTCGGGGCTTTAAAACTGTAATCAGGAGGACCATTTGGTTTATTATATAATAAGGTTTATGCAATTACACGAAATTGATTATAATTGCTCACAAAAAATGGCAGCGGCTAGCGAAAAGAAAACAAATTTTGACTTCATCTTTCAATCATAGCGCAGTTATATAACAATCTTTTGACGATGGCAAAAGGTAATTTAACGATGGCGGGGATCATTTGACGATGGTCAGAAGATCATTAAAGATGGCGGTGCGTCATCATAAAACAGGTCATGGAGATCCCTGAGACACTTCAACAAGCAACTTATGTATATAGTCTATGCTTACATGTGCCCCTTTTGTGGCCTCCTCTTTTTGCGCTGCTTCAGCAAACCTGGCAACATGATATATTATTGGTGAAACATTTGTTGGCCCGTAAAGACGAATTTGTTGTATGCAATTTGTATAAGCATCTAAAATGCCCTGTATTCCTGCAAGAAAAAATTATACAAATACATTATACTCTTGAATCAGTCTTGATTCCTTTTTGTGTGCTAGCCAAAGAATAAACAAAATCTAAAATTAATCTGTAAATACACCTAAAGGACTACATGTGAAACAACATGCTCAGTATTATTTACTATTCAAAAGAAAATCCAGAAAAAAAATCTTACATACAAGTGCAAGGGCTGTTAAACATAGTAGCATCAAAAATATAAACAAACTGGAGCTGAATTCAAACTTTTTTTGTTGCATCTCACAAAAAATGGTCTTTAAATGCTATAAAAGTGAGTCTTATTGTAAAATACATTTTCAACTGACTAACATCAGATCAATTGCTTCAAATTTTAATATAAATGCACAATTTACACTTATATGGTCCACATTAAAATGGTCAACATTTATCAAATAACATTACATCTGCTGTTTAGCACATTGTGATGTTTAACTTCCTTTTAAGTAAGATTCAATTCAATTTCTCAAAACTTGATTTTTTTTGCATTTTTCTGACACAAAAACCGCAAAAACAAACTAAAGGCTCTAAAGAGCCTGTGTCGCTCACCTTGGTCTATGTGCATATTAAACAAAGGACACAGATGGATTCATGACAAAATTGTGTTTTGGTGATGGTGATGTGTTTGTAGATCTTACTTTACTGAACATTCTTGCTGCTTACAATTATCTCTATCTATAATGAACTTGGCCCAGTAGTTACAGTGGAAAATATTTTGTAAAAATTTACAAAAATTTACAAAATTTATGAAAATTGTAAAAAATTTACTATAAAGGGCAATTACTCCTTAAGGGGTCAATTGACAATTTTGGTCATGTTTGACTTATTTGTAGATCTTACTTTGCTGTACATTATTGCTGTTTACAGTTTATCTCTATCTATAATAATATTCAAGATAATAACCAAAAGCAGCAAAATTTTCTTAAAATTACCAATTCAGGGGCAGCAACCCAACAACGTGTTGCCTGATTGGTCTGAAAATTTCAGGGCAGATAGATCTAGACCTAATGAACAATTTTATCCTCTTCAGATTTGCTCTAAATGCTTTGGTTTCAGAAATATGAGCCAAAAACTGCATTTTACACTATGTACTATTTTTTAGCCATGTCGGCCATCTTGGTTAGCGGGCGGGGTCATCGGACATTTTTTTTAAACTAGATACCCTAATGATGATTGTGGACAAGTTTGGTTAAATTTGTCTTAGTAGTTTCAGAGGAGAAGATTTTTGTAAAAGAGTACAAAAATTTACGAAAATTGGTTAAAAATTGACTATAAAGGGCAATAACTCCTTAAGGGGTCAACTGACTATTTTGGTCAAGTTAACTTATTTGTAGATCTTACTTTGCTGAACATTATTGCTGTTTATCTCTATCTATAATAATATTCAAGATAATAACCAAAAACGGCAAAATTTCCTTAAAATTACCAATTCAGGGGCAGCAACCCAACAACGGGTTGTCCGATTCATCTGAAAATTTTAGGGCAGATAGATCTTGACCTGATAAACAATTTTACCCCACAACAGATTTGCTCTAAATGCTTGGGTTTCAGAGATATAAGCCAAAATCTACATTTTACCCCTATGTTCTATTTTTAGCCATGGTGGCCATCTTGGTTGGTAAGCCGGGGCACCGGACACATTTTTTAAACTAGATACCCCAATGATGATTGTGGCCAAGTTTGGTTAAATTTGGCCAAGTAGTTTCAGAGGAGAAGATTTTGGGCCAGGTGAGCTAAAAAAGGAGGGGGGGGGGCTTATGAACTCCTGTTAAAACACATTTATGAGTAATATAATAACATGAAATGTACCAATTTAACTGCACCAGATGCACATCTCTACAATAAATTTTTCTTCAATGGTGCTTGGGTCTACAATGTTTGAAAATGCAAAATCTAATACAACTGAAGAGGTGATACAACCAAAACATTAAGCCAATATACTGCTTCGCTGAGCGCAGCTGGATACGCCCGCAGAGGGTCAACCCTGAACAGTTGGGGCAAAAATGGACACAATATTCAAGCTTGATACAGGTCTGAATTTGGATTGTAATTAAATATTTGACATATTATAGGTTTCTGAATAAATGTAGTCAAAGAACTTGAAATTGGTTATATGAATTGAATTTATATTCAATTAAAGATTTCTTGCTGTTGTGCAATACTATGTGCTGTTGTGCAATACTTAGTAAATATGTTGTCGGACTATAAACAAATAAAGTTCAATTTCTTCTCAATGTCATATTTGAAATTTATGAAAATCAATAGGGAGATTACATCAATAGCTATAAATAATTCATCAAAGTTTCATGAGAACTGCTGAAAGCATTTTTGAGTTATTGTCCAAAAACTGGAAAATCCACCCTTTTTTAATGAATAAAACCCCATAACTCAGAAATGTAAAATATAAAATTTATAAAATTCTAAAGGGAGCTGACATCAACAGATATAAACAATTCACCAAAGTTTCATGAGAACTGCTGAAAGCATTTTTTAGTTATTGTCGGAAAACTGGAAAATCCCCCTTTTTTATGAATAAAACCCTGTAACTCGGAAACGTTAAATCTAAAATTTATAAAAATCCAAAAGGGAGCTCATGTCAATAGATATAAACAATTCACTAAAATTTCTTGCAAGTAGGTGAAAGCATTCTTGAGTTATTGTCCGACATGTTTAGTGAGATCTCAACCGTATTTCCAATTGAAAGGAGCAAAGACTGGCGTCCAGAATATGAACTAGCACACAGGAATTGAATAAAGTAAAAAACATAAAACTGATCGGCTAAAGACGTCAAACGCTATCCATCATCAAGTACCTGACAAAATACGTTAACTACAAAACCAGAGGACAAAAACAAAAAGACGGGGTATATCAAGGTAGCGCCTGATGTCTAACTAAATAGAAGAATGGGGCTGAATAGTGAAGTATGAGTTTGAGATAAATATTCCTAAAGCAATGAACATAGAGTAGTTCTCGCTCGGACACACACTCCATTATCTTGTATATTATAAGAGCATAAACCTGAAGCATGGGGAGGCACTCTACTGTCTCCACACAGCACTAAAGAGCCAGTACAGAAGCGCCGAGCTACTGGCTGGGGATACCCTCTGGGAGTTCCATTGATTTGGTATCACACACTAGCAGATTGGAAAATGCTCTTATCTAACCCAAAGACATCATCAAATTCATAAACCATGGGTCATGTAAATTCTCTAATCCTACAATTTGACCAAATGTGAAAGATTGAAATGTAAAGTACCGGTACTGTACTAGCTTTCTGTAAGGCCTGCCACATAAAAATGTCAGAGCAGTACAGCATTTAATATTTGTGTGTTTATTTGTGAATTTACAATTTCTAAAGTTCTACCTGCACAATATGGATTAGTAGCATTAAAATTCAATGCAAATTCCATGGAAACTTTCATATCAGGAGGAATCAGTGCTCCAAATCCTAAAGCTGGAAACATTTTGTCCCTAAAATATAAAACATCAAAGATTAATATCATATAACAAAATTTGGTGCATGAGATGCTACTTTCAAAAAATAATACTTGGGCCAAAGATCAGGTCGTTTTACAAGAAAAATGACTGAGGTTTCAAAAGGATTGCTTTAGAAGAGATGAATGATCTAAAAAAAATTCATAAATTGGAAAAACCTTGCAGCACTTTAATTGAAAAACAAGAGTGTACATTCTGAAATGTCTTGCCTGCTTATTTTTTTTTAATCATACTGTGGATTCATTATTATTTGTTGGATACCAATTTTCGTGGATTTCGTGGGTACAAGTGAACCACGAAATTAAATGTTCAACGAATGACATATTTTGTATAGGCTTGTACGCAGACTTTCGGTAAAACCACGAAATTAAATATCCACGAACATGTCAATTTTCCCTATTCCACGAAATTTGGTACCAATGAAAATAAATGAATCCACAGTATTTGAATAATAACAAGCATTCTGTGAGTATTGCATGGCAATACATAGTCCCCTACCGGTTAAAAATTCATTGTACTGGAACAAAATTCTTACTTGATCTATAACTTGTCATGGTGTAAACTATATAACAAATATCAAGTCAATTTCTTCAAGCATGACGAAAAAAAGTGTTGAAAACTGATTATTTAAGTGAATTTTCTAAGTCCAAGGACCATAACTCTGTACAAAATCATCAGACCGGAACAAAATTTGTACTTGATCTGTAACTTGTCATGATAAAACTATATATCAATTTTCAAATCAATATCTTCAAGCATGACGAAAAAAAGTGCAGAAAACGGATTATTTGAGTGAATTTTCTAAGTCCAAGGACCATAACTCTGCACAAAATCATCAGACCAGATCAAAATTCAAACTTGAACAGTAACTTGTCATGATAAAACTGTATACTAATTAAAGAACCTTAGTGAGCGTGCTCACATACCCCACGTCCCCACATTGTCATTGGAGAAATAAAATAAGTATAAGAAAAAAAAATTGAATCATAATTTCCTGTCAATATGCACATCTACATAGTATGTCCTTATTATCTACAAAGTTTCATGAAATTCTGTTGTGTGGTTTCAGAGGAGTTGTGATGACAAACTGTTGCAGAAGTACATTGAAGCAAATAAGTTCAAAGGGGCGTATCTCCTAGAAAAAAATTGAATCCTAATTTCCTGTCGATATGCACATCTACATAGTATGTCCTTATTATCTAAAAAGGTTTTTGTGGTGTGGTTTCAGAGGAGTTGCGATGACAAAAGGTTGCAGTAGTATATTGGGCAAATAAGTTCAAAGGGGCGTAACTCCTGGGGAAAAAAATTGATTCGTAAATTCCTGTCGATATGCACATCTAAGGTCAGATGATACCTGCCAGACAGACATATACACCTTACAATCATTCCATACACCAAATAAAGTTGACCAATTGCTTATAGTTTAAGAAAAATAGACCAAAACACAAAAACTTAACACTGAGCAATTAACCATGAAAATGAGGTCAAGGTCAAATAAAATCTGCCAGACTGACATGTACATCGTAAAATATTTCCATACACCAAATAGGGTTGGCAAAGTATTACCCTGGCCCTGGTTTTCCCGGGCTGGGCAATACTCCTAGAAACGGGTAATACTGGGTAATATGATTTGTCAAGCTTATTTTTACACAAAATAGTAAAGACTTGTTATAGTTTAGTAGTATTATAGCTAAATATATACATTTTATACGGATAAACATTGAGAGTCATTCCTGAAGATTGAAAATTCAATTTCTTCCTTTTCTCCACTAATTCTATGTAGGCAGAATACAAGTTCTGGACATTTCAGGATACCTTGTTAATTTCCACGCTTTGTTTCAATATTAAATCCAAGTTGAAAAAATGCATTTTATTGCAGTGTACAATCATATTGCTAAATAAACACCCTAAGGGGACAGACCATGAACACTTATAGAAATCAAAAGGCTGATTACTGTTATATAAATAAATCTGTATTATAATCTGAATAATTACTTATTAATTAGTGATGTACATAAACATATGATAAGACTTAGTAAACATTTTTAGTAATGAACAAAAAATGTTTAAAAGTAATTTTCCTTACATAGAATTGTTAATTCTTAATATTAGTTATATTTATTAAAAAAAAATTGAATTCTTCGACTTTAATGTATTGCATTTGTGATTAATCACTAAATCCTCTTTAAAATACAGGCCAGTATTTCATATTACCCAGTATTGCCCCGGTAAAACCCAGTAAAACCCGGGTTTTCCCAGTATTTCCAACTGGGCTGGGAAATACTCATAAAACCCAGGTTTTTGCCAACCCTGACACCAAATATAGTTGACCTATTGCATATAGAATTAGAAAAAAAGACCAAAACACAAAAACTTAACTTTAACCACTGAACCATGAAAATGAGGTCAAAGTCAGATGACACCTGCCAGTTGGACATGTATACCTTACAATCATTCCATACACCAAATGTAGTAGACCAATTGCTTAAAGTATCTGATATATGGACTTGGCCACGAAAACTTAACCTTGTTCACTGATCCATGAAATGAGGTCAAGGTCAGATGAAACGCTCTGACAGGCATGAGGACCTTGCAAGGAGCACATACTAAACACAGTTATCCTATTACTCATAATAAGAGAGAAATTAACATTACAAAAAATCTTAACTTATTTTTCAAGTAGTCACTGAACCATGAAAATGATGTCAAGAACAATTGACATATGAACGACGAAAACTTCATAAAATAAGGCATCTATATACAAAATATAAAGCATTCAGGTCTCCCACCTTCTAAAATATAAAGCTTTTAAGTAGTTAGTTAACGCCGCCACAGCCGGATCACTATCCCTATGTTGATCTTTCTGGGACAGAAGTTGCAGGCTCGACAAAAATAGAAGGCAAAACAACACACGTCATAGTTTTAACATACCCGTACCATACCTATTGTATGGAATGTTGAAGTACATACGTGTCATAATCTTGACATACTGCCCCCACAGCTTGTATGGCTTGTTGATATTCATTAGGTTGGTATGGATTGATGTAATGTAAAGAATTAGCAGTTTTGGGATCACCATTAGAAGCTGTAAAATCTACTCCTACCTGAAAAAATCAATGCACTTTCTTCTCATTTTTTTTATATTGTGACTGTCAAGTACAAGGCTGCATTTAGATATATGGACTACAAAATGGTAGAGCTAGACTACCTAACTGATATGGCCAGAGCTATTAAATGTGTTTTTATATTTGTCTCATTAAGCATCCCAAATATCAAGTTATTGCTCTACTTCAAGCGAAAGTACTTCATTTTTATGTATGTAGTATGTATGTATGTTTGCATCTGAAAATCAACCAATAGTCCTCAAAATCTAATTCTATCCTTAGAGGGATTTAAATCCATGCCCTAATGCCTTACACCATGTAAATCATTTAATAGAAATTATAAATGAACAGTAGGTCAAATAAAATCATATCTACAAAATTATGGATTGTCTTTAATACTGGAATAAAATTTTAATCCAGTATTGTGGTTTTTAAAATAAAAACAACATAAAGTTATAAAAAAAAAAATAATGGTGGCAAAACATAATAAATGGTATATGACATAACAATTTTATCAGATTATTGAATATGCAAATGAACATTTTTTTATCTCTATAGGGTAAAACTCAATATTTATGAATGTCATTATGATATGACAAATGTTGTTCAGCACTACTATAAAATTTAAATACCAGTATTGTACACAATACTGGTATTCCAGTATTACGATCGCCAAATACAGGAGATCCAAAATTATTTCAACTTCTTTGAAACTCGCAAAACCACTGCAAAATATTTTTAATAATCATAATCTTTCAAACAAATGTAATTTTCATGTTTATAGGGAAAAGGTTAAAAGTTGAAACATGGACAATAAACAAGAGGCTTCTATAAGAGTCTAAATAGCTGACCTGTCATAAATACGTTTTTTATTACTGTTTACAGCTGCTACCTATATATCATAATTTGCAGGATGACGAGCAAAAACTGGTATAAAAATTAGTCATTTATTGATTTTTAAAGGGCAATAGTTCTAATAAATAGTCATCCACTGGTTTTGGTCATATTTGCATTTTTGAAAATTTTATATTGCTGATCACATTGCTGTTTACAAAATCTATCCTTCTATTATAGTTTTCAAGATAAAACAGATAAATTGATTCGCCGAGCGCAGCTGGATACAACCGCAGAGGTCCAACCCAAGACAGTTGGGGCAAAAATGGACACAATATTCGCGCTTGATACAGGTCTGAATTTGGATTGTAATTAAATATTTGACACATAATAGGGTTTCTGACACAGAATAACTGTAGTCAAAGAACTTAGAATTGGTTGTATGATTTGAATTTATATTCAATTTTTTGCGATTGTGCAATACACTATGCTGTTGCAAATTGACCCCCCCCCCCCCCCCCCCCAAAAAAAAAAAAAAAAAAAAAAAAAAAATTACCCCCCCCCCCCCTTTTTTTTGCAAAAAAAAAAACAAAAAAAAAAATTCTTTCCCTCAAGATATGGTCATTATCTCAATTCAAATTTCCAATGGGGTTTGCAACCATAATTACCCATTTAAATACATCATAAAAGTCTTAAAAAAGAAAATGACATACATAATCATGTCTACAATTAATATTCCTTAATCAGCATTTTTAATTGTAACTTCTAAAAATAAATTGACAGCTAATCACCTCAAGACAATACAACACTTCTTTATACATAATTCAAAACCAGTGTAAGGGAGGTAATCCAAACACAAAACATTGTACTTAAAAGAAATCGTCCATTAATAAGGAAACCCTTGTTTTCCCCCTTTTTTGCCCCTAATTCCTAAACAGTTTGAGCCATTACCCCCCAAAGCAAATCCTAACCATCCCTTTGAGGTATAATTTCAGAGAGATCCATACACTGTTCCACAAGTTATTGTCTGGAAACTAGAAAAATGCTTATTTGGCCCCCTTTTAGGCCCCTAATTCCTAAACTGTTAGGACTATAACCCCAAAAATCAATCCCAACCTTCCTTTTGTGGCTATAAACCTTGTGTTTAAATTTCATAGATTTCTTTTTACTAATACTAAAGTTATTTGTCCGGAAACCAAATGTCTTTGGACGACGCTGACAACTACGACGTGATACCAATATACGACTGCAAAATTTTTTGCGGTCGTATAAAAAACTTAACTAACTGGTGGTGTTTAATGACCTTGACTGGCTGGTAAGCCCTTGCACGGTCGGTAGAAATACTTGAGAAAAAATCAAAAATTGTAATTATGTCATTTAAGGGCCATTACTCCTATAAGAGTCATCCAATGGTTTTTGGTTATCTTGGCATTTTTGTAAATTGTATTGTTGAAAATTTTTGCTGGTTACAGTTTCTATCAACCAATTATAGCTTTTGAAAAAAATCCTCATTAAAGGGCAATAACTCCTGGGAGGATTCATCAAATGGTTATGTCAATAATATTTGTTGTTTACAGTTTCTTCCTAGCAGGCAAAACTTGAAAATTAGTCAAAAACTTTAATTCAAGGGCACTTTCTCCTATATGGATTTATCTGATATATTTTTGGTAATAGGAAGAAGGTTTTCAAGATAGTAGCAAGGTATAGTATCCTTGATTTAAGACAATTAATGCATTTTACCCTTATATTCTATTTTTAGTCATGATGCCAGATGGCCATGTTTGTTAAACATAAAACATATTTGTACTTAATATCCTAAGATTCATTCAGTTCAAATTTTATGAAATTGGCAAAGTGGTTTAAGAGTAAAAATTAACAACGACAATGACAACTTATAGATTATCATATTTTTTTAAGATTCTGTTTTAGGCAGGATGAATCAGGCTACATAGCTTCATTCTTTCAGAAATATTTGCTTTAAGAGGAAGATGAGTGCATATGTTATTATCTCCAATGGCTTAATTGTCCACTCAAAATTCTCAATAAAACTCAAACCAGAATAACTACCAATCAAAATTCGTTTCTGTCTTTTTGAAAAGATGATGTCATGGTTTTTGTTGAAAATTAAGGAAAATTCAGTTGTCCTTAATCTTTATAACTTAGCAATGAGGGTAAATACATTAAAGCCAGAATATGATATTTAGAATTTTTGAAATTTTGATTCATTAACAATCTTCTATTAGATAAAATTAAATTCTACAGTATAAATAAAAGAACAGAGTTCCAATGTCCCCCGCATTACATATATTTTATCTATCCAAGGGCAATAACTAAAAAAGTAATTTTTTTGTTCTTTAAAACAATTTATAAATATCTTAGAGAAATGAAGGCTTCAGAGCAAATGCAATGAGATTTCCGTTATAATAAATTTTTCCAAGGGGCATAACTCATTAAAAATATTTGATCAGCACTTATTTTCGAAAGTGTCAAAGACTTTGCAGATATAAACCTATGATATAAGTTTCATAAAATTCTGGCAAGAATTGTACACATGAGAGCGCTAATATTGCAATTTTCCATAAAATCAATATATCCAAGGGACATAACTCATTTAAAAATAATTGATCAGCACCAATTTTCAAATCTGTCTGAGACATTGATGATATAAATCTATTATATAAATTTCATAAAAATCTGGCAAGAATTGTACACGAGAGTGCTAAAAAATACAATTTTCCATATAATCAATATTTCCAAGGGCATAACTCTTTTAAAAATCATTAATCGGCACTGATTCTCGAACTCATCAAAGTCATTGCTGATATAAGCCTATGATAGAAGTTTCATAAAAATCTGGCAAGAACTGTACACCTGAGAGTGCTAACAAGACCAGACAGACGGACGGACGGACACCCAGTATTTCCATGTCCCCTGCAACACGTTTCGCAGGGTACAATAATTACAGAGATATTAGGATTTAAAGCTGACTCTTTTCTCAACAATTATTCAGTCTAATACCCTTCTTAATCACTCTTAATCAGACAATTTGACGTCAATCAATGAATCTGAAATTTTTTCAGTAATGACAAATGAACTTTTTTCTACAGGAAACATGCAATCTTTGTATAGCTGGTTATTAAATTACCCCACGCTTTTAAAAATCTATAATTTTTCTTGTTGTTTTTTAATGATCTAATTACTAGTAGTTATTTAAGAAAAACGTAACTAAATTCAAACAAGATTATCATCTATATGTATTATCAATAGAAAATACTATTTTACTTACTGTAAAATTAACCTGCATTCCTCCATATATGAATTCTAAGAAAGAAGGAACTCTCTCAAGCTGAAAAAAGTTAAAAAAAAAACCAACTTTACTCAGGTGTTTACATTTATTGATTGTATCTTTTGTTTCAATGGATGTTCACTGATTTGACTCAAATTCTCATATTTGATTTATCAAAAAAAAAACTAAAACGTATATCCAAATTTCAAAAAGTCTAAAATAAACAATCAACAATGCATGGACTCCATAATATGTATCAACTTTGGTGTGTATTTTTGTCTAGACGTCATCTAATTAACAATGAGATAACCTCCAAAGACTGCCGACGGTCACATAACCCAATATAAACATAAATATATAAGTATAAATAGATAGTGACCTCGTGCAATTGGATTTTTCTAGGTCTGTTTGATTTCATATTGTAGGTTAAAAAGTATGTTTATCATCGTTTTTACCTGTATAAGAATGATTTTTTTGTGGATCGAATTAGTCAACCAAATGGTTCATCCTTATTTCACTTTCAATGTTGACATTCTTTTCCTTTTAATAGCTGAATACATGCATAACCCGTCTCCAGCTAAGGGGTAAAATTGAAGGTCACATGAATACGGATTCAATGAGGTCGATTTATTCACTTGCAAGTGAATAATTCATCAGCGATGTTTCTTAGCTTACTTTGACAAAATTGAACCAAATTGGCTGCTAAAAGCGAATTATTATTTCACTTTCATTAATGATGGAACAAAAAAAAAATCTTTTAATTTTTTTTACATCTAGTAGCTAAAGCTTAAACACTGAATGTTACACATTTTACATAAAGCAAGAGCGAAAAGACAGGTCTTGTATTTCAGAATGGAAAAGTACAAAAACTTTTTTACACCGTGGACTGTATTTGTTCTGGTGTTGTAATGTGCCATTTATTGGCCCATAAGTAACAATTCATCAAAAACAGGGAAAGGTTTTTATATAGTTAAGTTTTCTAACTTTTTGATTTTACATAAGGCTTTTAATAAGCTGAACCTACTATCAAACGAAAATACTATGTTTAGTGCAGAAAATTCTGAATCAAACTAAGTGAATATACCTAAATACCTCCAAACCTTTTGATCATATAAAAATATTGATTTTTTAAGTTTGTGCTTTAACTATAGTTTTCAGTCAGGACTCTATTTCGTCAAAATTATCTCCCTATTACGCCTCCTAATTTTTTTTTTCTCGTGAAAATGGAAGCCATTGTAGGCATGACGGGCTGTCAATTTAGCTCTTGAAAACTGATACATGTATCCACATAGCTTCATTAAAATTCTTGCAGGACAGTATTTTAAAAGACAAATGTATCGACTAGCTAGGCCTTTTGTCAACTTAAAAATATTTTTGATCGGTTGTCATTGGGAATTTTTTAATATTAAAAAAATACTAAAAATCTTCTATTTAAATATTTCGTGGAAGGGCACACTAAATATTTTTAGAGGTTGAAGACTTATTAACCCAGATACCACAAAAAAAAAGTTATGCATTTTTAACATCCACTTAAAAAGTCTGTCGTCAGGTACTTTTAGTAAAAATTTGTTATTCAAACACACCTACTCTGTTATTATGACTCATTAAAAAGGTATTTCACTTGACCAATATATTTCATTTTTTAGTACCGTGAATTTTTAATGTTACTACATGTATATCAACCTGTTGATTAAATATATCAACATTATAGAATTAGAAGTGAGATGATGTATCAAATATGTTTGCTTTATATGTTTTTAAGACAAAACAGTAAACTCAAACACGCCTGAACATGAAAAGGTGTACTCAACTTTCTCTTTTGATGAGATTATTGCCCATTTTTAGGATTTTTTCACAAAAAACTGTTGGCCGGGGCAGAAATGCAAATTAATGCTTTAAAAAGATCATTTTTTTATTTTTCTGTGGAATTTTTTTTCGGCGGAATTTATGCTTATGCACAAAAAAGATCCACATGTATTTGTACCTACTACAATCGACTGTTTTGTGAAAATTTGTCTTTAATTTTAAAAGTTTACAAATATCTCGAAGTACCATACTATAATTTAAATAAACAAACGTATATAAGATGCAAAAAATCCTATATAATGCACCTTCATTAAACATTTAAAGCCCTTAGAAACAGATGTAAACAATTCAAATATATCAACTTGGCCTTTTTTACCTTCTCTAATAAAGAGTTCCATTTCTTTTTTTTAATTTCAACCAGATATCAGCCTGTTTTACGTGTTTCAATAATATATAAAAATTCTCATAAATAGACATTAATACCTTAAATGAAGTCAGATGAACTGTTCCTGAATTTTCATAACTTCTTTTCTTCTCTTTCTTTTTTGGGTTGATGCAAGGAAATGATACCTAAAAATAATAAAATGATGTTATACAGCTGCAAAAAATATCTTTAAGTAAAGGCATCAGACTGACCTATTATTCACACAATTTCCTCCTCTTTTCCTTGATTGTGGTGCCTGTAGTTGAGCAGGAATTGCTTACAGTACCTTTTTAAAGCACCTGAGTTCACCCTCCGTTTTTTTTATATGGTTGCTCAATCTATAGTTTTCAGTGTACTTTTTGTGGACTGTTTAGATAGCAAGGTATAGATTTGTGAATTTTTTATGATTATCCTAAAGGTGGTTGCCATGATTGCACAGTGAATAATCCCAAATGCTTTGATAATATAAAATCTTTTTCTGACATCACACACCCTAAAAAAATAAAATGAGTAATTTTTCATTGCATTTATGGACTAAAATTTCGATGACAGGGCAACCATCTTAATTTCTTTGGTGGGGGGCGGACTTTTTTACATGGAATATTCATTTTCATCTGTTGTTATATGTTTTCACATTTGTACACAATTATTTTCTCTATCTTGTAGGGCAGTAGATACATTTTCCTTTTGCCAATACATATTCCCTTAATAACCATGAAATTCAGAAAAAAAGATAACAGCCATTTAAAAGCACCAATTAAACACTAAAAGATCAATTTAAAAGATAATATATTCAAATTGCATCTTGATGGCTGTAACATCCATCTTTACCAACTCAACCTTTATAACATGGTAATTTATAGGAATTTTATTTATCTACACTTCTACCTGTATCAAGTAAACAAAGTTGTTATATTCAATATAATTTTCTCTGTTTCTAATGTAAACATAGTTTATAAGTGCTAGCAGTGAAATCAACCTTGAAGCTTGAGGCATTCATTACTATACAGGCGAGTGGTGATGATAAGTGTATAAGATTGGTGTGAAGAGGATTTCCTATTCAAATTGTTGTAAAGTTCAGACCTTTTTAAGAAGATTTCTTATACATACAAATTGGAATTAACTTCATTTATTGTACTATAATTATCAAGAAATTGTTACAGTAACAGGTAAATAACTATATAACTGATGCAGAACATATCACATTCATATTAAAACTTTGAATAGTACCAACTATGTGGTAATATTAAAGTTAATTAAGAAACATGCTTTACTTAATTATTTTTTGTTATAATAGTAATGTTCAAATTCTTGTCATAAACTTCATAAAGCTTGAAAGAGATGTATCTATGGACAGAAAAATATTTCTGAGCTGGTAACTGGAAAGTTTTAACTTAACTTTACCTACAGTTTACTCTTAAGATTCATCCTTATGTGATCTTTGATATATATTTCTAATTGGTATTTTGAACTTATGTGTTTAAGAAATTTCTAAATTACCTTGAATGTGATTTAATTAAATAGATGATAAATACATAGACAAGAATTTTTGTACAAATCTATATTAGATTACTTTCTCTAACTCTTAGCCGAATTATGAGGGTCTGGATGATTTTAGCACCTCATTTTTCTCTATTCTTTATTTTTTATGGGCATTTTTCTCTATTCTTTATATTTTTTGGGCCATTTTTCTCTACTCTTTATATTTTTTGCCCATTATTCTCTATTCTGTAAACCCCCATCCACACCCTCATTGATACATCCCTTGAACTGTTGATTGTTATCAAAAATAAATCAACAGTAAAGAACTGAGACCAAGTGAGCACTTGACCTCAGTTCTTTATTTGTCAAAATTTTGATTATAAAGTCAAATTTCCTTTACGGTACTTTTGCTGATTTCCTTATAATACCTCACAAAAAAAGACAACCATGCCTGCAGATGATGTCACATATATATAGTAAGAACACATCTTTAAGCAGATAATTGCAAAAGAAAGAAAAAGTATGCCTTTATGTCTCTCAAAAATTTGGAGAAACAGATTCTTTCTCATTATCTTGTGTGAAACAATAATATTTCTCCTTTCTCACCAGTTAAAAACTGTCTTGAGAGAAGAAATATAATATCACACTCAATGTCCAATCTATATGTATAGATTACAGGTCTTGAAATCTTAAATATATGGTTTACAAATTTAATGGACACCATACCATGTATTTGTTTTAAAATTATAATCCAGATCAATCTAAACAAACAAAAAATTTGCTGACCTTAATTTATTTAAAATTTTTATGGCAATGGATTTATAGGTCAAATATTAGCATATTAATCCAATAATTGTTTGGGGTCAATGTTGACAAACCATAAATAATTTGTTAACCTAATAACAACCTTGGTTATATGATATACATATAGCATACATGGTTTACAAATTTATAAGTTATATAAGTGTTTGAATTAATTAAGTCCGTAGTATTGAAACTTGAAAACAAAAATAAAATTGATTCAACTAAGTTACTTAATATCATATTATAATACTAAATATATGTAAATATAATGAAATGTACTCAAATGAAAGTATTTAAATGAATTACTTTAATGTTTTAACAAATTAATATCACTGTTTATAACCATCATCATCAGAAATCTGGACACAGCTTCTCTTTCAAAATTAATTATCATCCAAATATTTGTAACAAGGAAAAGGCTGAAATAGATGCTCCCCCAATCTGCACTTTTACTAAACATTTTTTGTTTGTTTCAAGATATCAAAATACTAGTATGCTTGCAGGGAAAATAAACATGCACTTTTAATGCTAATTATATGATTTGACCCTGAAACCCAATTTAGTTTTGTATCCAGTAACTATGATCTTGACCTTTGACTCCAAAACCAATAAGCTTCTTCCCTTCCTTATATAGTCCATCTGTATAAGTTTCATTCCAAGCAAGAAGAAAATTAAATTCCCCATTTTAAACCATTTTTAATTCTTTTTTTATATTTATTAACAGTTAACTTGTTCTTAGACCATAAGATCACCTTCTTCCCCTTCTCTATATTTTCCATCTATATAACTTTTATCCTAATCAAGCAAGGGATATTGAAGCTACCGTTCAGAGACAATTTGTTTAAGACACACAGACAGGGACAGAGGGATGGACAAAGCAATTAAATTATGCTGAAAAAAAATTTTCCGGGAGAATAATGTATGAAATGGGGTAAAATTTTATTGCATTAGCATGGATCATATTGAAAAATATTCTATTTAAATATGTAGCACTGACACAATGCAATTAATTTAACAGTTCTAAAACATTCTTGCTTCAAAATTCCAAAAGGGAGCATATATTACATTATTGTAGTAATAAACCATTTTTTAAGACGTTTCTGTCACTGGTCTTCTTCAGTTTCTTTATCATGGTAGACATTTTACTACTATGTAGTTAAGAAGGATAATAAAGAAACTGAAGAAGGCCAGTGGCCGAAACCGTCTTAAAAATGTTTTAGTTCTATAAAAAATAAATATTACACAATTGTAATTTTTCTCATGAATTCATTTAAAAATGTCCTTCCTCAGAGAGGTTAGCAGGTACAGTCTGTATATGTTATGAACATTCAACTATTACTTTAAAGACTGAATGTTGACCTCTTGAGGTCTTTTTTGTGTTTACTGTGTTGTTGGGTGGATGTCTCTATGTTCTTTAATCCTTTTAAAAATATTTCTCCATTGTAAATTATAAACATTGATTTCTTTATGTTTCTATGACCATATCTCCATGTGTTGTCAAATACAGACAATATGTACTATACGTAAATGGGTGCAAACAAACTTGTTGTAAATGGGTGCAAACAAACTCGCTGTAAATCTTGTCACTATCTGAAATTGACAGAACAACACTAACGACACACTCTGTTAAACTGCATACAAATTATAATAGTTTCATATTCAATAATTTCAATCAGTGAAAACTGAAAAGAAAGCGTTCAATAAAATGTTGGTTCTATCAATTTGAATAAATGTACTTATGAGTGGGTCAAGTACACATTAAATTTAAGACTGGTCTAAAACTTATTATGTTGTACAAACAATTATTAAGTAACTAAAACAAATATCCACTTTATCCCAGGATTTCCTCTGCAATAAAATATTAAATATAGATATAATATGTGAAAGTATAAAGTACAGAAACAATTTCATTTGAAAAACAGTCTATGAGTAAATATATATAGATTGGTTGATTGATTGGTGTTTAACGCCACTTTCAACACTATTGTGCTATTTCGTTGCGGTCAGTTTTTATTTGTGGAGTAAGCCGGAGTGCCCATAAAAATATATATAGAAGCACAGTACATAATCACAAAACATAAATCAATCAGAACGAAGGTTTAACCAAAAAATGATAGAATTTTTGTATACTTAAATAGTCTTTGCCAGAAAGTTCAGCTATAAAATGCTACAGGTATTTCAAAATACACAAATGTATAGTATAAAGTATTGATCACTTGCATGGTTTGGTTTTTAAGCTCATGGCGGTGCCTAACTCTCTTATTTTATTTGGAAAACATATACTGATGATTCATTATTATTTGTGGGATACCAATTATTATGGATTTCATGGGTCTACATGGTATAGGTGAACATTTTCCCTAAATCCATGAAAATTAGTACCCAAAAAAAAAATAAATGAATACACAGTAGTCAAGTGACAAGAGAGAATACCATTACTTCAGTACTTGGTAGAACTTTTCAGATCTTTGACAAACTAATTTAACTTAATAAATTACAATGTAGACTACACATTCCATTTCATGATTTGGCCATCCACCTATCATTAAGACATTATGAATAATAGTAAGCAGCATGTAAACAAATAATCTCTCATCTGTTTTCTGGAATATAGATCAAGGTTATCTGTGTGCAGAGTAATTACAGACAACTGTTTTTCTATTTGCATTGTAAAGTATTAGAATCATGAACAACATCCTTTGATCACTGAGTCTTGTAAAACATACTATATGGCACAGATCTAAATCTAACCTAATAATAACTCATAGAAGTTCAGGGCAATCATCTGTATCCATGCAGTCACTCTTTTATTCTAACATTTGCAAGGCTATCTTACAAAGTACAATAAGCAAATAAATGCCAAGGAGAAATGTTGTTTTAAACATAGAATTGTATTATACCAGTAAAGCAAATATATGCATGAATAAGATTTATTAATAAACATGTATGTAAATTACTGACTTCATGCATTTTTCAATGGTCTTCAAGATCTTAGCTTTCAGAAAATCTACTAAATACATGGCTAGCATATATCTATAGCAAAAATAAGTTCATTATATCGTACAATAATGCTTTACTACAAAATAAGAGGTCTATCCTGCATAAACATCATGATACTTCCCGTCAAAAGTAGGAAAGAAAATAAGACAAAATCTATAAAATTCCTCAAAATAAGTGATCATGACAATACATGTATTATAATACCATTATAATAAATTCTCTCTTCATTTGCCCAAAATTTGCATTTGTATGAAAGTTAACAACTACATGACCTTCATCATTAGATTTTTTAAAAATCGTTGTCAATGTAAGGGCAAAGTAAGAATCTATTTTTTTCTTTTTCTTGCAGCATTGGTATCTTTTCTTGGTGTTTTTTTTTTTAAATATATCAGCTTTCTAAATGTCACTTCATTTCAATTTTGTTTCCTTATTATTTAAACTATTTCATGCTCTTACTATGTACTCTTCGATATTTGACCACAAAAATTTTAGTTCAGAAAAAGAAAAAAAAGTTTAATATTTGCATGGTACAACAATATAAAAGTGTATTCAGGGTGTATCCCATATTACAGTATTACATTTCAATTCAATGAGTGTAGGTGGATTAAACGTATTATGTTTACTTCAGGTAAACATGAATATTTGGACATATTAAACCAGTTGCTCTGGTGTTCATAAAAATGGGGAAGCATTTCCAATGACACACATTACAAACTATTATGTAACAGGATAGTCGAAAATCTTTCAGAACTTCACATCTACTGTTGAATCTTAAGGTATAATAGCTAAAACACTGTTATTGTCTAGGAAATAATTTTTCCTTGATTTTGTGAGTAAAACTAAATTTAAGTGTACAATATAATACAAATTTCATTTAAGCTTGTATGCAGAATTCATTAAGATCATGAAACTTTGACATTGACAACAGGGCTTTAAGGGACCTGAATATGTATAAAATATTTTCTATTGGAAATTAAACATTAAAACATACAAAATATTGGCATCTTCAAAATGGCATGATTGTAGAATTTTATAGGTGAACTAGAACTAGATGTAATGTAAAATACAAAAGTAATAAGACCTTGAACTACTCATCACACACAAATAATACACACCAGTGAAGTAGTTTTTTGTAGTAATCACATGCAGTCTGTATCAGTATTATAATAGGTAAGTCAAGCTGTACTTCATTCATCTGTTAATGTAGTAAACTAAACTCTATTATAACTTGACATAAACTGTGAGTTGTTTTGGCAAAACTGTATGTTATATCAAAGAGGAATATCATTCAAAATTATGACATAAAGGCTAGTCATTATAAAGTGAGTATCTTTTATCAACTTTTTTGTTCATAACTATTTAAGAGCAACTATTTAATATTTTTTTTTCTGTGATACAAGCCTTACTCAAATATTCTTAACTTGTTGGAGGTTAAAAATAATAGGGAACACATATTTTCTGAGGGTATTGCATAAGCAATACAATGCCTTGGCAGGTAAATTGAATAGGTTTATTCTTGTAATGAAAAAGCATTTCATTATGAGGTATGCCTGCCCTATTTTCAGATAAAATTGCGGAAGAGTTGCTGCTGATGGCATAATGAATTTGGTGCCATGTCAGAGTTCCAAGGGAGTGAACTTTGAAATTTATTTTTGGTTTAGATAATCATAAAAAGCTTGATAACAGTCTTGTGAAATCATGCCTAGTTCTCCAATCGTTTCTTGATTAACTGACCCTTTGGTCCTATTCTGGTTGTAAAGTAAAGTGCTTCAATCTAAATGAAGAAGTTGAGTGAACAGCTATGCAGTAGCACTCAAACATCACAATTAAAAGAAAACATTAACATATAATTAGGATGCATTTACATTGAACTCCTGTCTTTTGAATTATTTGTATCATTGGGTTGCTATCTTATTGACCATATCCCATACTTCCCTTTATAAAAATAAGGAGATGTGGTATGATTGCCAATGAGACAACTATCCACAAATGAAGTTGATATTGTATGTTGTTTGGGCTGTAAGTGTTGCCCTCTTGGCATCTTTTCTGGTTATTTTTGGGGTGTCTTAGGGATGCTGTCTTATTGACCATTAATAACAAATATTTTCTAGATATCATTCTGCAGTACTTTTTATACCACACAATTATACTCCTTAACAAAATTAATGTCCCTATAGTATCAATCAAATTAATATTAGCATTACCCCCTTTGTCTAAATACTAAATATTCATATTCTGGGAACAGACACAAATTGATACAAATATACTTTACTTGATGTCAAAGGTATTAAATCTCACCCAGGTAACAAGGTAATAAAGTTAAACAAAAGATTGATCTGTGATTTTATAGGAAAATAAGTTAATTTTCAGCTGTAGTGAGTTTCCTCTTCAGGAAAGGAAATCAATACCACTGATGTTGATGTAAAGTTGTCAATTTTCGATTATTTAAAACCTAGTTAAGTCACACCTGTTGTCTTGTATGTGGTTATCAGACGTCAAAATTCAATGAATATTTAGGGACATTAAATTCATATACATTCATATATTTCAAATCAACTTAAGTGGAAGAAATATTTAGATACCTGGGAAACACCTTAAGGTAAAGGTTGCAAATGCCATGCATGATATATTTTTTTGAGCTTGCTGTTAAATATGTACACGTGGTATATATAAATTCAATAATACAGATCTTTAAAAGCTGCAGAATACTGCAGTTAAATGCATTAGACGTATGCTTATGGAAAAAAATTTCATAAAAGTTTATGAACCATTATTATAATAACAGTTCATTTTATGTGCAAACTTTAAATCTTCACATCAAAAAATTTGTTTTCTCTATATTTGTGTTAAATTACATACAAATATTTTATGACATGTATATCTTGACAACAACTATCCAGTTCACCTTTATGATAAAATCTGAATGGATATGTCATACACATAGAGCAATAAACCTATGCTTTCAAAATTGTTACAAAACTAGGTGAAAAGACTTCAGGGTGTGCAAATATAAGTAAAACAAGAGTAGTAATCAAAATTAAATTCTGATAGAATTGACCCCTCTGTATTTTTAAAACAAAATCATGGACATTGTTTACACCATTTTGTGGAATAATATCTGTGTGACCAAGTAAAACCCTATCAAATTCTATTCAGAACAGGCTTATAATATGATCACATTATCTAGATAACATTGTAATAATATAATGATCTGGCCTTAAAAGTCAATCAAATATGAACTTGTCCACCCACAGCCCTACCGAAAATTATGTCCAGATAAATGTTATATCTGACCTTATTAACAGTGTCACATTATTATATTACAGGACCATAATCATAGTGGCCAACTTATGTTGTCAAATCAAGTTTTGCTGAACTTTTAGGAATTTTGTAAATATTTGTTTCAAACCTTACAATTATAATGGGCGATTTATTGCATAACCAAAGGTGTTAAGATTTTAAAAACAAAACCAAAAGCTAAATAAATTTTAATGAGATTTCTGTTTGAAATCATTGATGAAACCAAGCATATATAACAGCAACTGAATCATGCAGCATCACTCATATCAATCTGACCCATACTCCTACATAGTTCCTTGGCATTCTCTAAACCTTGAATTCACACATTTCTATTTATGATACAGGATAAATTGTCGCTATGCTCTAATTAATTCAACTCATGTACTAATACAGTCATGAAGAAGATAAAGAGGGTTACTAAATCATGTCATTTATAATTTTTTCTTTTGTTTGATAACAAACTTTGCCTAATGTTTTTATTTTGTTCTTTTGCAGATTAAAATCTAAAATATTACAGAATGGGATCTGGTGAAGGAAGTGGAGAAGGCAAAGGCAAAGCAGAATTATGTCCAGGAATATTATGGGCGATATTGTGGTTCCTCATCTTGTGGTTCCTAGCATGGCCAGTTGCCTTCTTTATAGCCTGGCTTTATGTACTTTTAATTCCATTTAGTGCTTGTATAGAACCAATCAAAGGTGTATGTGAAGCCATTTTAAAAGTAGTAAATCTTCCTTTGACTTGTGCCGAAAATATGATTGCAATGAAACCACTGTGTGGATAAAAACTACTACATTTTATACAACTTTTATACAATGTATCTATTTATTCAAATCTAGAATATTAGCTTATTTATGACAAAAAAATGTATATTTTTGTTTAAGTTGCAACAAATATGTTGATATTTTGTTTATATACTGATTTTTATTAAATTCAATATACTTTCTTACATATTATTATACATGAATATAGATTCTTAAGTCATGTAGTAAAGGCAATAAGGCCAATATAAGGCCAAATATCTTAGTGCAAACTTAAAAGTTACCATTAAATGGCATTAATGATTACAAATTTGCCCTATCATGGACAAGGTAAAAAGTGTTCAGAAAATAAAACAAAAATTTGAATTTGATGAGGTGCAACCATGACATAATAAGTTTATTTTGTACAATCTCTTGATTTATCAAAGATTTCTAAATAGTTGTTTGCTTAATGTCTACTGGCAAACATTTCATGCATATTCAGGACGATTATTATCATATTTTTGAAGACTATTTTCACATCTTCATGACTTTTTTAAAAAGTAGAGCAAGACTGGCCAAAGAGAGAAATAAAGCAACTTTGTCAGAAGAAAAAATCAAATGATGAAAATATATAGAACAATGCAAAACCAAGAAAACCTTCTAAAAGACAGATGCCAAAATGTTAATCAGAAATACATGTACACATACAAACATCAAAAAATACATGAATGCTAGATTTTGATAATAGTCTCCCTTTAAAAAAAGTTAAAAGAAAAAAAAAATCAGTAAAAAGTTAGACTTGAAATAAAACAATCAAAAATACAAACTGAGGGGCCAATGAAAGGAACAAACAATACAATTCAGTACTTTATTGCAATAAAACACTTTAATAAGGTTTATGACCAAAAAATCAAATAACGATAAGATAAATCAAAAACAAATACGACAAACAATCATGGGGAAATAACTGAAACAGAGGAAATAATATGTGGTGTAACACAACACTCCCAACTACCGGTATATCATTTCAAATACATATAACACTTATTACATCTTAAAACGTAAGAGGATGTGCATTTGAAGCAGCCCTTCAACTTCACTAATCCTATCATACAAGCAGACCTAAAGTACTTGTACTTAAATTATTAATCTGTAATATATAAAATTAATACTTATTAAGTCCCCTCTTGATAAGATTTCCTTTTGACCTCCATTCATGCATATCTTTTCTTTTACCAGAAAAAAAGTGGAGGTTCAACAATGTCAACCAGATTTATTATGAATAATGCCAAAATGTTTTATTAATATCTTTTTGACTACAAATTATCACATGTTACCTCCCTGCCGATGATTTCTTGTGAATACTAGGGCTTGACTCAAGTGCAGGGAAATTGTCATTAAGGGCAATATCTCCTATAAGAATTAGTCCAATAAACTATCTATATTAGTGTTCGAAATAATAGGCAAAAAAAAAGAAAAAATTAGTTAAAAATCTTCCATTTAAGACAATAACTCCTATAAAAATTGATTCAATATTTTCCTTCACTTTGGTATTTTTGTAGCTCCTGTATTTCTGATCAATTTTGCTGTTGGCAGTTTTTACCTTTTTGTTATATTTACGTTATGAAAGGCAAAAACACAAAAACTGGTCAAACATCTTCATCAAAGGGCAATAACTCCTGAAAAGAGTCATCTGATAATTTACATGGTTATTGAAAGTAGGTAGATCTTGACATTGTGATAAATTTTGCCCTGTCAGATTTTTTCCACAAAAATAAGGAGATGTGGTATTATTGCCAATGAAACAACTATCTACCAGAGTTCAAATGATGTGAAAATAAACTAGAGGCTCTCAAGAGCCTGTGTCGCTCACCTGTATTTACTGATGCTTTGGAAATCATGTAAAATAAGGTTAAAATCATAATTAATAGTATTAGATATTAGATATTATAATGATATGTAAGATAATAACAAAAAACTGCAAAATTTTTGTAAAATTACTAACTCAGGGGCAGCAACCCAACAACAGGTTGTCGGATTCGTCTGAAAATTTCAGGGCAGATGAATCTAAATCTGATGAACATTTTTGCCACCTGTCAGATTTGCTCTAAATGCTTTAGTTTCAGAGACATAAACCAAAAACTGCAATTTACCCCTATGTTCTATTTTTAACCAAGTTGGCCATGATGGTTGGAAGGCGGGGTCATCAGACAAATTTTTTAAACTAGATACCCTAATAATGATTATGGCCAAGTATGGTTAAATTTGTCTCAGTAGTTCCAGAGAAGGAGATTTTTGTAAAAGATTACAAAAATTTACGAAAAATTGTAAAAAATTGACTATTAAGGGCAATAACTCCTAAAGGGGTCGACTGACAATTTTGGTCATGACAACTTATTTGTAGATCTTACTTTGCTGAACATTATTGCTGTTTACAGTTTATCTCTATCTATAATAATATTCAAGATAATAACCAAAAACTGCAAAATTTCCTTAAAATTACCAATTCAGGGGCAGCAACCCAACAACAGGTTGTCAGATTTGTCTGAAAATTTCAGGGCAGATAGATCTTGACCTAATAATCAGTTTTACCCCGGACGACGGACGCCAAGTGATGAGAAAAGCTCACTTGGCCCTTCGGGCCAGGTGAGCTAAAAACTGTTGACAGCAGAAAATTCAGAAAAAGACAACCTGATGGACAGCAACATTGCTAATTAATTTAAAAGTTGCTGGACCATGACATAGAGGGCAGTGCGTTAAAAATGATTGTCAATACTCGTCAAACTGATATTTTCCAATAGTAATGCAACTTTATAGACAGTATCATTGATCTATCACAAGTAGTTCCTATCAAACTGACTTAAGCAGAAAGCATGAACCAACGTCAACCACTGAATTACAGGCTCCTTACTTGGGACAGGTAAATAAAGAAAGTGGCAGGGTTAAACATGTTTGTGAGCGATCAACCCTCTATCTACTATGGTTATCAAGTTATTGCACAATTAATGCATTTTACCCTTATGTTCTATTTGTAGCCATGCTGCCATGTTTGTGGATATAAAGGTATACACACACATGCTGCTGGTATGGGTTAATTTTTTTGGAATGTCAAATATATCAATGGGGTGCTATTTCACGGAGGTAATTTTGGAATGTCAAATATATCAATGGGGTGCTATTTCACGGAGGTAATTTTGGAATGTCAAATATATCAATGGGGTGCTATTTCATGGAGGTAATTTTGGAATGTCAAATATATCAATGGGGTGCTATTTTACAGAGGTAATTTGGAATGTCAAATATATCAATGGGGTGCTATTTCATGGAGGTAATATAATAATGGGTAAAAAATGAATATGTAAATGGGTCATACATGTTCATCTTCTATTTAGATGTCTTTTAAAACCATGTACTGTTTTTTAATTTAAAAATAAGAATGATCTTATGTGGTAAACATCTAAAGAAAAATATCACTAATTGTATGTCTTATAGCTGCACTTGTATGATTGGGTTATGATTTTTCTATGAAATATAACTATGGTAAGGATTTTGGCATTAAATCAATATATGATATATCAGGGGTGGTTTTAAAACCCCGTCCTGATATTTGTACCCATATCTGCTTGTTGAGACCCCCGCTCATGTGCATTTTAATAAGGTAAAACTTAAAATGCACTAGAGAATGACTGGAGAAAATGGAAATTTAGTAAATGAAACAAAGATTAATGGATTTTTCCAATGATCTACTTACTTAATATAGTATACACAGTGTAGTTTGACAATTTTGATTTCTCAATTTTCTTCCTTACAAAGTGAAAATACTGAAAATATCTACAGCTCAGAAACAGATAACTGTGATCTTGAGTGATCTTATAATGTCTAATTCTATCTCATCACTTATCAAATAGTTCAGCAAGACTATTTTCTTATTCATGTATTTCAGTCAACTAGTTTTATGGCAATGATTTTATTCTTTTCATCAAATAATAGAACTTGAAAAGTACTTCAGATATATAGATACAAATATTATGACAATCAAAACCAGTAACCAAAACATCAGATAAATCAACTGTGTAACCAGCATAAATAATAACCAGTGGTATTATATAATAAATCAAATACTAGTAATATTTACTTTTGTACAAACTGGTGGTAATATTTTACTGCTATCTCAAGAGGGGTATATATAAGTTTGCCTTCATAATTGTAATCAGCTGCATTAAAAAAAATTTCTATCACACATAACTTGTTGATTGTACATGTACTTGGCAACAATACACTTCATGTAAATATATCAAAACAACTGCTTCTAAGTAAAATAAAGACAACAGAGATATTCCAGTGATAATATCAATCATAAAGTACAATAAACTTCAATATAGACTAAATTGTGATGTTGATGTAGAACTGTATATAACAAGAATGTTATCAACCATAATCTAGATCATTACATACACATGTTCAGATAAGGGGAAATAACTGTATAAAGCACCTAATCCAAGCCAAGAAAGAAATGATGAATTCACTCTAATGTTGGATTGTCTAAATTCTGTAAAATTGTAATGTCAATATTTAAGTGATATTTACCTTCCTGGATAATTATGTACATTTGTATATATGTTTAATTTTGTTCATGCATTATATTTGTTATATTGTATTGTTTGTACTATCATGCCTCATGTGAGGCCTTTAGTGAAATAAAAAGTTTCAAAAAGTTTCAAAGCTAATAAGAAATAATAGTTCAGAAATGACTTCATGGTATCTGTCCTTAACAGTAACCTAAGCTAGAATTTAAAAAAATATGTTCCAGCAATAATTTCAAGTCAACCCTATACCTTAGTTCTGGTCTCCAAATAATGCTTATTGGCAATATCTTGTAAGGTAATATGTGTGAGTCTTCAAAGGAAGAGGTGTTTAGCCTGCTGTCTCCAAATAATATAGTAGGTACAAAAAATTCTTATCTCAGTATGGGAACCCCCAAAAATCACTCCGATCAAAAATTCAATTTGCAGCCTAAGATGCATACCTTTTATATCTGTAAAAGAATAGGTTGGATTCTGTCACATCATTTTAAATGAGATGCTGATAAACAATCTGATATAAGCAGAAATGGAAAAAATACCATGTTTTATAAAAGATAACCCGAAAAATCAATCAGATAAAAAATTAAAATAGCAGTCACAAGACTGCATGTCCTGTAGAAGATTCTTTGCAAGTTTGACCGAATTCTGTCTAGTCATTTTCATGGAGTTGCAAGTTATCAAAATGTGACACAGATGACGTTAAACTTAGAAGTTATGGTCCAGACAATTAAAAACAATACAAGTCATGACCCATACCTTTAAGAAATTTGATCCTAGTACACAGGTTACAATTGAGGAGGTAAACTACAGAAATTAGTCTGCAGTAAGAAGTTGCAGTCTAGTCTGCAACAACTGTGACCTTGATTTCAATGGGTCACATCTGAGAATTTAATGAGTTAACTGTAAAAATTTTACCACTTTTATGTCATTTTGTATGAAGGCGTATTCTAGCGTAATTTGGGATAAAAAAAAATGTGCATCGTTTGTTACACAAGTTATCCCCCTTACTCTAGGAAATAAAAAATTGACTGCCTTGTAAGCAAGATATCACTTGTTTCTTTCAAAACTGCTGGTACTGTAATCAAACTGTGATGACATCATTTCAATCATAAATATGGGTATGCTTATCTTTGTAAAACTGGTGATGAAACCACTTTGCACACACTGGAAAGATGGCTGGAAGGAAAATTGTATTGTAAAACTGTTCCATTAACTGACCTTGCAAAAAAAAAAATCTTTCTTTCTGTTATTACAGACCATTTTTTGGGAGAATGATATGGTCTAGATAGTTTCCTATAAATCCACTCAGTAAATTGTTCATACTTTAAAACTTACAACAGGGAAGATGGGTAAAGAAGTGGCAAGTTGATATTTGATATCAACTCAAAGCTAAAACCACATCTCCTTATTTTTACACAAAAAACTTAAGATAAAGCAAGAACAATAACTCCATCAAAACTTTTTTTTTCATGAATCAGAGACTAAAAAGGTGATTAATTTTTTGAAAAACTTCTGAAAGCAGACTGTGATTTGCTCTACTGGTAATATTTATTTTGTGACTTTTTGTGTTTCCAAAAATAGTCAACTAGCACAGTTGTTAGGACTTTCTTTGCACCAGTAGATTCGTCATTCATTTTAAAATTATATATCATTTCAAAAATGAATTCTGTAGACCAATAACTTAGAAAATGCTGATAATGTAAAAATATCTGCCGATTTGTATGATTTTCCCTTTATAGCCTGTTTTTTACGGCTATCAAGCTATTAATTTCAACAGCTTATATCTTAAAAACTCAAATGGTAACCCTAATTTTTTTTCTTTTTTCTGGTGTTAATTTTTTAGCACTATTTATATGTACAGTTTTAAACAAATCTGTGGAGTAGTTTATTACTCAATTCAATACTTAATAATGTTTAAACAAAATGTTTATCAGAGCCAGTAAATGAATGTGGGTCATATGAACTTCACTTTATGGCACACAGTCAGTCTCTCTGAGATGTACCTGCATATCAAACAAGTTCAACTGTGAGCTTCTGCTCACAAATAATACCCCCACTATAAGTATTCGGCAAACAGAAATGTCAAATGCAATAGATGTTAAAACTCATCTTACTGTAAAGCATGCTCACATGGAGCTTGATTCCAAATTTCAGAAAGATTGGTTGTTCCATAGAAAAATGCAACAAAAATTTCAAACATGACTATTATGTGTATGGATGTATGTATAAGTATTTGGTAAACAGGTAGTGGATGAGCGATGATTCTGAAAATGCATCACATGGTCTGCATGCTCACATGAAGCTAAATTCCAAATTTCAGGAAGCTCTTATTTGTAGTTCCTGGGAAAAACATGACAAAAATTTTATTGGATGGGTGAACAGTCGGAAACTAGGACCAAAGAACAGACAGACATAATTAAGTCAACCCCTACTTGGGAGTGGAGGTATAATAATATTGCTGTATGGTTTATAATAGTTTTTGAGAAATGGCTGCAGACAGACCGGTGGATGCCAGGGTACTCAAAAAGTCCTTCTCCATTGGGTTGAAGCAAACAAACTTCAAGATTTTCTAACATAAATTTATGCCATGTTTATATTCACATTAAGTCAAGACAAAAGTCTTTGAAGCATTTTTTTACTTTGATTTTAAGATAGTACAAGCATTGATTCCTAAAAGTGTCCAAAGAGGAGATTTTCTTGAAGCTTATGACCACTGAAGATGATGGTTGCCAAGTGTGCAAAGTGAGTATAAATCCAACTTACCTGTTGCTTGATAGCTTCTGACATTGCTGTAATGGTGGTGACAAAAGTGCCTATCAGATCATGTGACCCATCATTGTCATAATCGAACACATCAAACTAAAAAATAAAAAATGTTTAAACTCTTCTATAGATATGCATGTGATAGAATCTAAACTTTCTGAAGCATCGCACAATCATACAACTTTTCAGAAAAAGTAGATGAATTCTCCAGCATGATGAAGGTTAATGTAATTAATAAAGACTTCTTTACTATGAATAAGGGTGCTTTTTTAGTGATTCGTGCTTTTTACCATTTAAGATGTAATATTGTTTCAGTTAATGCTGAATATATGTAGTATATCTCCGGGTGTGGGATTTTTCTCGCTTTGTTGAAGACCCATTGGTGGTCTTGGGCTGTTTTCTGCTCTTTAGTGTAGTTGTTATCTCTTTGACACATTCCCCATTTCCATTCTCAATTTTATAAATAAGCATCTTGGCATATCTATTTTTTTAGTAAACTGGTGTCTGAGGTGGAATTTCAGATTATATGTCTTGTCTGAAATTTGAATGACTAACATTGTCAGTATTTACTTAGCACTGGTTAAGCAGCCATCCATCATCAACAGTATTTACTTAGCACTTCTTGGGGCTCTTGAGAAAGGTTTTTCTGAAGATTAGCCTTCACACGTATAGGAAATAATCTGATAGTTATTTTTTATGTTTTATGGATTTCAGAAAAAGGTAACTTCCAATACATATATATATATTTCTGTGGCAGCCTCTACAAAATCCAACAATAATAATTTAAGAAGAAAAACGTTTGCAGGTCATGCATATTTTATTGATAGTCATGAGTTAGCAAAACGTTTTTGGTATCAATGTACAAATTTTTGCACCTCATGTCTGCGTTATACCATCTTTTCCGCAAGTTTATTGTTTTCTGTTTGGTATTAAATTAATATGTAAGATCCATTTTTTACATCAGGTGATCAATTTATTTGGCAATCGCCAATGGCAGTCAGCAGGGTTAAAGAACATCAGTTGTTTGACCTGTTAGTCAAATGCATTTTGTTAAAATATACTTTTTCACTTTTTGGTCTTTTGGAAAATGCTTGTTGTTTGTGCTGTATTTAGACCCCTCTACCAAGAAATTTGTTTTACATGCACACGTATAAAATTGCGGTTTTTATCCAACGCAATCATAGGTTTGAACGTTGTTTTCAATTTAGACTTGTTTATATTTTTTCGTTTGGGCTTGTATTATATTTTCCTTCGGGTTTATATGATCTGTTCATCCTATTTCGACTCTTTAAAATGCAAGAGTCTATCCTAAATTGAATTAAATTATATAGTCTTCCAAATACCGTTTCGATCCCTAACATCACTGAAGAGACATTAATTGTCGAAATCCGGATATGGTGTACAAATTTTTGCACCTCATGTCTGCCGTATACCATCTTTTCCGCAAGTTTATTGTTTTCTGTTTGGTATTAAATTAATATGTAAGATCCATTTTTTACATCTGGTGATCAATTTATTTGGCAATCGCCGATGGCAGTCAGCAGGGTTTAAGAACATCAGTTGTTCCACCTGTTAGTCAAATGCGTTTTGTTAAAATATACTTTTTCACTTTTTGGTCTTTTGGAAAATGCATGTTGTTTGTGCAGTATTTAGACCCCTCTACCAAGAAATTTTTTACATGCACACGTATAAAAATTGCGGTTTTTATCCAATGCAATCATAGGTTTGAACGTTGTTTTCAATTTAGACTTGTCAATACATACTTTGATATCTTTGTTTTTATCCCCTCCACACATAACATTTACAGCTAGATTAAACGGACGCCATGTTGGATTTAGTGTGTTCTTTATTACCTGCAAACAGTATTTATTATACATTACAATACAATTATACAAAACTTCTTTTTAGGTAGAATTCATTTAAGCCAAACTCCATTACATGTAAAAGCATTTTTTCAATCATTTATAAAACAACAAATTCTATAATATGTCCACACTTTTTACCCAATTTCTACCTGAACTAATTTATATTATGACAAAAAATATTTCAGATTTTTATTTCCTATGGAAAATTTCAAACATGGCTAACTAATTTTAAGGTTTGTTTCTTATGTTGATCTGCTTACAAGGAGGCTATTTAAACCAAAGTAAAAGTCACCTCTGCAAAAGTCTTGCTGATGCCATCAAAAGATTATCATGATGACCATTAAAGCTCTTTGTCACAGATGACCACAGATATATTTTATTTACCGGTATAAATTTTCTCATTTAGGACAGTCCCTGAAAGTGACTTATCATCATATTTTTTACATGCCATGAGCAACATGAAGGGCATCACTAAGGGAGTAGGAACTCCTTATAATTCTGAAGCACCTATTAGCTCATTTTCTTTCTGTGAATCTTTTATGAGATTTCCTTAGATACCATTACAGTCTGATTCTGAAAAGTTGAGATTTGAAACTCAAAGTTGATCAACTTGTTAATTTTGAAGATAATCAGACAAGCGATGCATCAAACTATATCTGACTGAACCTGAAATTATTGATGCCTGAATATTTTTATGTGACCATATATGGAAGATAAGTAAAAACTTTAAGCCCATTACTTTTTTTCAATATTACTCCTTTCAGTCGATAATAATTTACTTTCTGAATGCTTATCTAAAGAGCTGAAAAATGCTTCAAAATTGTGTTACAGTTTATCATTAACTGGGTTTGAAAATAAATTATGATTTTTTTTTAGGTTTTAAAATTCATTTGTACAGAACACTTTCAGGTCACTATTTTGTAACAGGAAATGAAAAAAAAAATTGAGATTGTGTCATGAACTGAATGTTGCAATGGAAATACTTCCATAGTTTTAAAATAGGAAATAAAAAACAAAATGGAGATTGTGTCATGAACTGAATGTTGCAATGAAAATACTTCCATAGTTTTAAAATAGGAAAATAAAAAAAAAAATGAATTCCTTAAATGGCCAGTGTTGACTATGTACTCATAATTATTTACAATCTAAATGACATGTTTCATAAACTGTCTGTATGTTATTTAAATAGTAAAATGGAAATATTGATATTAAAAAGGCAATGCTTTAACAATGTAAACTATGCAAAACATCCTGAGTCTGAAGGTTCAGGACCAAATGATCTAATAAATGAGATATGCCAATGCAAATAAACTGCATATCAAATATTATTGATTTATCATAAGTAGTTCCTCTTAAACAAACCTAATCACAAACTTCAACATGTAAACTGATGTAAATTCAGAGATTAAGTTGTGCATTTATTACTGCAAATCCTTGACCACTGGCAATAATATGAAATCTATTTGATGTGATTGCAAAAATTTTATGAATGAAAATCACTACTAAAATTATAAATGCGAGTTTTTATTATTGCGAACCTGATACTGTTGCATTTTTTGCATTATTGTGAACCCAATGAAAGTTTTCCACAGTGCCATCTCTATCTGGTCAAGGTCTTTAAACTTTTGTAAGTTCTCTTGTCCCATCAAATGAATACAATAGCTATTGTTATCTGTGTAGTTTATTCACTGGGACCTTTAAATTTCTTCTAAGAGAAATCTATCACTCATTGATTAATTTACCTGAGTCATGAAAAAAAATTCTTATATATAGACAAAAATACTTTTTTTATACTCATTAACTGCCTGTGATGATGTATTTATTCAAAATTGATAATATATTATCAATCTTTTCAATATAAACAATGATTTAATTATAAAAATTTGATTTCTAACAAAAGTTTAAGTAATGTACCCATTGAAATTTGCATTTTTTTTGTTTTTGTTTAGTTATAGAATACATTTAAGTAGGTTTTAATTTGAACATCATAATTTTCAAGTTTTTATTTGTCAAACACACAAAAAAAAAACAAATTCTAAAGTTTTGTCAGAAATCAACTTTTATTAATGTTTGAATCACTGTTTACATTCAACAAATTGAAAATATCTTATTAATATTTAATAAATACAACATCACATGCAGTTTTGAGTATAAAACATGTATTTTCGTCTATAAAGAAGATTTTTTTTTACTCAGGTAAATTAATCAATGAGTGATAGATTTCTCTTAGAAGAAATTTAAAGGTCTTAGAGAATAAACTACACAGAGAACAATAGCTATTGTATTTATTCAATAGGACAGGTGAACTTACAAAAGTTTAAATACCTTGACCAGATAGAGATGGCACTGTGGAAAACTTTCATTGGGTTCACAATAATAAAAACATCTCAATAATTTCAAAATTTAAGGTATTTTTTTTCGCCTTCCTTAGTTATTTCTATACCGGTTTGTTTTACTGGAAGTTAGCCTGATAAGTTCTGCTCACACATTCTCCTCTGTCATTGTCTGTGAGATAAGTTTTGCTCTTAAAAATCTCAATGGAAATGAGATGTATCAATACTACTTCAACTGCATAACAAATATCACTGACTTACAACTAGAGGTTCTACAAATTTAGGACACCGCCTACTCCTAAAAGTGCACTTCTAAGTCTTGCCTTCACAACTTTTCAAGGAGATACAAAAAGCAGATGAGTAATCTTTCTATGTTTGACAACTTTCTCAATTTTATATCCAAACAACTCACTAAGTTACAGTACTGCAATCATAATCAGTTACATTCCCATAATTCAGACAAAAGCATTATCTTTTTCATTTATGAACTTACACAAACATATTCATTTTTCTCAATATATTTGTTGATTTAGTTGATTTTGATTCATTTTTTTGATAGAAACAAACCTCAGTTCTGTGTACAACAACCCATGTGCCATCTGGCATACCTTTTGATATCTCTATATATGGGTCTGATTTACCCATGAAATCCTGAAAAATCATCAGAAAGCCTAAATTAATGTTGTATCTAGCAATCTTACAAAGTTTAGTTTAAGTTTCTTTTGAAGGTATGAAAATACAACTAAAAAATAAATTGCTTCGCCGAGCGCAGCTGGATACGACCACAGAGGTACAACCCTGAACAGTTGGGGAAAAATGGACACAATAATCGCGCTTGATACAGGTCTGAATTTGGATTGTAATTAAATATTTGACACATAATAGGTTTCTGACACAAAATAACTGTAGTCAAAGAACTTAGAATTGGTTATATGATTTGAATTTATATTCAATTTTTTGCTTTTGTGCAATACACTTTGCTGTTGTGAATTGACCCCCCCCTCCCCCCATAAAAAAAAAAATATTTGAAGAACTTTTCTTTTTAATTTCTGAAGTCTGAAATGAGAAAAAATTGACTTCCCCCCCCCCCCCCCCCCCCACAATTTCTTTTTAACCCCCCCCCCCCCTTTTTTCCCCCTAAAAAAAATTCTTTCCCTCAAGATATGGTCATAATCTCAATTCAAATTTCCAATGGAGTTTGCAACCATAATTACCCATTTAAATACATTATAAAAGTCTTAAATAGTTATCAAAGGTACCAGGATTATAATTTAATACGCCAGACGCGCGTTTCGTCTACATAAGACACATCAGTGACGCTCAGATCAGAATAGTTAAATAGCCAAACAAGTACAAAGTTGAAGAGCATTGAGGACCCAAAATTCAAAAAAGTTGTGCCAGATACGGCTAAGGTAATCTATTCCTCGGATAAGAAAATCCTTAGTTTTCTGAAAAATTAAAATAGAAAATAGTATATACATAATTATGGCTAAAATTAATATTCCTTAATAGTAACTTCTAAAAATAAATTGACAGCTAATCATCTCAAGACACTACAACATTTCTTTATACATAATTTAAAAGCAGTGTAAGGGAGGTAATCAAAATGTTGTGTTTGGATTACCTCCCTTACACTGCTTTTAAATTGTCTTAAGTAATTGTTCATTAACCAGGAAACCCTTGTTTTCCCCCTTTTTTGCCCCTAATTCCTAAACAGTTTGAGCCATAACCCCCCAAAGCAAATCCTAACCATCCCTTTGTGGTATGGAAACTTGTGGTATAATTTCAGAGAGATCCATACACCGTTCCACAAGTTATTGTCTGGAAACTATGTTGTGATGTTATACTATTGTTTCAGAAAAGGGAGAAGGTTTGGCACCATTAAAACGTTTAATCCCGCTGCAAATGTTTGCACCTGTCCTAAGTCAGGAATCTGATGTACAGTAGTTGTCGTCTGTTTATGTAGTTCATACGTGTTTCTCGTTTCTCGTTTTTATATAGATTAGACTGTTGGTTTTCCGTTTGAATGGTTTTACACTAGTAATTTTTGTGGCCCTTTATAGCTTGCTGTTCGGTGTGAGCCAATGCTCCGTGTTGAAGGCCGTACCTTGACCTATAATGGTTTACTTTATAAATTGTTACTTGGATGGAGAGTTGTCTCATTGGCACTCATACCACATCTTCCTATATCTAATTATTTGGGCCCCTTTTTGGCCCCTAATTTCTAAACTGTTAGGACCATAACCCCCAAAATCAATCCCAACCTTCCTTTTGTGATTATAAACCTTGTGTTTAAATTTCATAGATTTCTATTTAATTATACTAAAGTTATTGTCCAGAAACCAACTGACTTCAGACGACGACGATGTGATACCAATAAACGACCGCAAAATTTTTTGCGGTCCTATAATTCCTACTTAAATATTCTTAGTCTTTTGATACAGTATAGATCAATTATTTTTTTTTTAAGGTTTTACCTGTATGAATCATATTTATGACATTGTAATTTAATAAATTTGATGTGTGATGCATATCTTCAGTCTCATATTTGATAATGTTATAAAGTTTATGCCACTGTTAACACCTATCTTTAGATATACACATTTTATAATTTAATAAAACTTCTTACACAGAGATATGCCTCACTGGCTTTGTAACAAAGTTTAAAACAACATATTATGTACATTTCACTAACTAATTTGAGAATACTTTCAAAGTGCATCTAAAACCGAAGATGAATTTTCAAGAACATCTAATATCAAGCTCCATTTTTGGGGGATTTCATATTGACAAAAATAATTTTAGTGCATCTGTTGTTTAAAGGCGAATGTCATTTGACTGATTGTGTGCTGGTATTTAAAATGTTGTTGGGGATAAAGGGGGTACATCAGGAGATACATAATTACTAGCTAAGACACTTTTCAAAAACAAAACTAAAGCAATTAAAATTATTCTTCATCTTACTATATCAAAGACAATTTTTAAAAATTTTGACAGTTACTGTAAGGCTTCCAACAATGAATCTTATTATTTATCATCTTTCAGTTTATTATGCATTCCCTAAACAATTAAAATTTACAATGGAGTATCAATAGGATTTATGTTAAAAAGGGGCAAATTATTCAAACCAAAAATTGTGTCCTTCTATCTTGTATTTTCATGCCTTTACAGTATAAAATAACACACATTTATCATATCATTGTTATCTGATGACCAATACCTTGTTATCTAACTTTTTTGCACTGAATGACATATATGCCATTTCTCCTCCTTCTTTAACCTCTTCTGACCTGACCTACAAAAAAAGAAAATTCCTACAACTATGATCTGATTTAATTACAAGATAACAATTGTTAAGGTTCATGAAAATGTTGTTTGCATTACATAATCTTCTTGTTTTGATATTTGCTGGCATCAAAGCATTAGAAGAATTATATTATGGTAGGTACTCAAATTTATTGTATTTCGGAAAGGGCAAATAACAATTAACATTATGTACAATGCACTGTTACCTGCTCTTTGGTCGAGTTGTTGTCTCTTTGACATATTCCCCATTTCCATTCTCAATTTTACATATATTGTTCATATCCCGCAACTTAACCCTTGCATTTTTTGTTTAGTTTTTTAATTCCAAATTGTTGTCTTTGGTTTTTATAGAATTCGACACAATATTGACTATGGAGAGCACCCAAAAAAAAGCTGTTCACTCAAGATGGATAACAGGACTTTATTTGTACAAGATCAAATAGAGCAAATATTAATTTGTATACCTGTTATTTCTTCAACAATTGGCTGATTGCAGGAAAAAAACAAAGTGCTCCATAATTACATTGGAAGATCTTATGGTACCTGTGGTTATATTTTGTCTCAGTATATGTACTTAATTCTAAAACTATTCAAAACTTACAGAAACATTATGTAGTACTTCAATATCATTTGGATATGTTAAAACAGATATATATATAATATATAAAACTTACTGTAATTGTAGAATTAGCCATATTATCTTTACCATTTTTCTTCTTTAATGGTGAATAAAAAGGGTTCTTAGCTATAACCTGGAAAAAAATGTATACCATTTGACTGATATATTCATGAACCAGATGACAGCACATATTGGCAGAGAAAAAAAAAATCTCATTTCAGCATATCTAATATACAAAAGAACAAGAAGCAAAAATACTATTTCAATTAGTTTACTCATTTATTTAATTAATCATATTTTTTGGTTTTGGTTGGTAGGTTAAATTAAAATCATTTCTTTTCTTGTTTTTTTTTTCTCTTTTCTTATACCTTCTCTTACTTCTATCTTGTCATTTCCAATTCTAATTTTTCTGGCACTGTTAAAAAATCTCCAATGTTCATTAGCTATTAATATTAGTTTACATTTTAGCAATGTTAAAAAATCCCCAAAGTACAATCACAGATTGCTCTAGCATTTTAAAAATTAAATGCCTATCCCAAACATACCTGAGCTAAATTACACTCTAACATTCCTAAAAAATCATCATCAGTTAGCTTTGGAGTTGCATTGTCCAAATCATACACTTCAAACTTTATTTTCTGTACTTCTTCAAAGAAATACTCCACCACAAATCCATTGGCAAACTTTGGATCATGGCAATTCTGAATATTTTCTGTCCTACCTATCTGAAATATAATCAAAAGTACGATTACCAGTATGCAAAAGTACACAAATGAAAAATTAATCAGCAATTTTAGTTTGTTAGTGATTTTTTAACCTAACAGACAAGTATTATTTAGCAATTCTTTTGTTTGAACATGATATTTTCATGAATGCATGCATTTGGCTTGACAGTAAAAGTTTTGTATAGGGTTCCACCGAACCTTGTGTCTTGCCTGTGACTGCTACTATCACTGTCAATGTGTAATGTTGACTGCCAAAAAATTAGGTCCATCTTTCAGTAAAATACTGAGAAAAGAAAAAAAATTCAAAATTTTGCTTCAGAAATTATCTCTTAATCATAAAAAATCTTCCACCAAAGTTTCATAAAATTCTATGCAGGTTTCACAAAGTTAAAAAAAAGTCACTTTATCAGTAAAATATAAATAAAAGGAAAAAAATATTTTCAAAATTCTGATCTGTATTCTGTCTTTTATTCAAAAAAGCTCCTGTTCAAGTTTTGTAAAAAATTCCAGTAAGTTCTGACAAAGATATTGAAATTAAAAAAATAAAAGAATAATGTATCTGAGGACATGAATGCCTCTGCTCATGCTTTGCAACAAAAATGCGATGGACAGACGGACTGAAAGACTTATGGTCAAGGGTAACACTTAATGCCCCCGTTGACTACGGCTGGGGCAAAAAAATTAACTACAGACTGTACCTCAAATGTTAACAGCGACAGCAGAATGCAGGATTGCAATGTCTGGCTTTCGTGACATAATGTTGTAGGCTCGACAATAACAGAAGGTAAGAACTAACTGTTTTGATGAATTATACATTAATGATTAAACTACATCTTAGTGTATATGAACTACATGTAGATGTCTATTTTTTTCTTTTTTCTTGTGTTATTGTCAGTCTATTCTATTTTTAGGGGGGAAGGATATTGTTGTTTGGTTATTTTAACATTGATGTTTACCATCTCCTTTATTTAATATCTATTGACAAGCTCAGGGGTAGTGTGTATTTCCAAATTAAAACTTACTCTGAAAAATGTTGGTACTTCTCTGACAGACTTTATAAACACAGATATATTTGTTTGTGTTCTATCATATGGTTGCTGTCACACTGATATATACCCTGCTTTTACTTTTCCTTCATAATAATATAATGAAAGTAAAGAACCTAAATGTTTGGTCACTTGAGAACAACAAAAATTTGATAATAAACTGCTGACACAGAGATATGTTTTTTTTATAGTAAAATGCAAATGTTGAAATTCAAATAGCAATACTTTCACTAGTAAATTATGCAATTTATTTAAAGTCAAACATGACTAAAGGTACAGGGCCAAATAATTTTTGTGGAAATAAGGTTTGCCAATGCTGATACAACTGCATACCAAATATCATTAACTTATCATAAGTGGTTCCACTTAAACTGAACTGATCTAATTACAAACTTTAACATGCATAAGTTTCAAAGTCAATAGACCATGACTGAGAGGGCAGGCACGAATAATCTCGATTGGAATGGGATGTGCCAATGATAATACAACTGCATACCAAATATTATTGACTTATCATAAGTGGTTCTCCTTCAAACTGACCTAATCAAAAACTTTAACAAATTGTTGATACCACTGACACCACCGGAAACAGCATTCCTACATCAAGGCGAGACAAAAACTAAATAATGTTAATATAAGTAGGAGAATGCTACTGTTCTTTCCTTTTAATTGCAATGCCTAATGTATGTTTCAGTATCAACACACTTCTTAACTCATAGCGTAACAATAACTGGCTATAAATTATAATGCAACAAATGGAAGTTTTTAACGACCTTAACTGGCTATACAGCCCTTGCACGGTCGGTATAATGCAAGATAAAATTGTCTACTGCTTTATACAAAATTGAAAAATACAAAGTTCACATTGCAGTGACTTCTTATCTCTATGGGTCATGAACTTTGAATTTCATGTCAAGACTAGAAAACTTAGCCAGTGGTTAAGTTTAAAATAAGCCATTCATCTCACATTTTGTATAGTAGAATGTACTGTTATGGTTTTCCAAAGCATTTCTTGAACAATATACATTTGTAGTACTGTATATTCAGAAATTATTGCGAGGCTTTTATCAATGCAAATAATGTGACAGGGAGAGTATTGCAATAATAAGAACACATTGTAATATCTGATATATATATATGTGGACACGGATTTTTCCTGAAATCGCAATAAATAATGTCGCATTTTTGTCAATTATTCAAAAATAGTAATAACAAATGCACACAATAATTTTTGAATTAACAGTATCAAATACGGCTTGCACAAATTTTACCTCATTCCATGTGCCTTGTTGAAACATATAGAAGACCACACATGGATCTGATTTTGAAGTTGAGTCTTTCTTGACAAGATGCTGGCATTCTATGTGAAGTTCTACTTTTGATGCAGGGCCACTAGTAGGAGCCTGGTTCATCTTTGATTTCTGCAATTCAAATTAAAAATACTTGTAACCTATGTACCTAGTACAATGTACTTAAAATAGTGGATTTAGTGGTGTTAGTCCTGTTATATGGAAAATTCTATCAAAATAAGGCCATTTTTCTTTTCTAAAATTGAAAATTCAGCATCAAAACTTACCTGCTCCTCCACCAAATCAACTATGACCTTTGGAACCTATTATGAGTGAACGTTTTGTAATTTATAGAAAAACAAAAATTGCAACTCCTTCAACCAAAATGTACAACTAAAATGTACATTAAAATGTTTGGCTATTTCTATATGCCTATACTATTCCTATAGCTTTTGTTTTACTTTGTTAATATCAGGTTTTAAGTGATTTACATGATTGATTGATTGATTGATTGTTGGTGTTTTAACATCACTTTCAAACTCACCTTAGCATTGACAGGCTAGTGACTGCTGTAGATGAACTACTTAGACCACTCCACCACTGATTTATTAGATATAGGAATATGTATAGGTTTATAGTTTATATTTCATCTCACTGTGTAAATGTGTTATCAAATCATATTGTAATGTCTGTTAATGTGAATGTCATGTTACCCGTCAAGGGCCCTAAATTGGAATGATAAAAATTATAATTCTTTAAAATCTAATATTCTCAATTTTTTACATGCTAAAAAATATGAAAACAAATAAGCTACCAAAAGTTACACAAATATTACTCCACGGCACGACAAAGAACATGAGAAAAAAATTTTGAAAGCATTATTTTACTAGAGTATATAGACTATACTGAAGAATTATTGTTTTAGCATACTAGTGTATATGCAATTTTTGTCTTCCCTTTTTGACCATTTTCAAAACATTAATATTTTACTTATATCAAGGAATTGTATATTTAAAAGGAATGGAAACGTGGCTGACTTCAAAGAAAATTTTATTATGCATCTCTGTTTCAGGCGATGCATTAATTACATCCCGTAGCTCTAACTGGCTAATTACTTGTCTTGCATCAGATATCGAACTTCGTCATTTAATCTGACAGCAGTTGTTGGACTTTGTTGTAAATTATTGGTACTTAAACTGTGCAGTCAGAAAGGAGTATATTTATTGGATGATATATTAATCATGAATAAATATAAAAATAAAAGAAATACACAAAAAAATAAACAATGCAATCACATGTAAAGTCACTTATAAAAAACGCTTTTATCTTTGTTTTCATCTCCATATTTTATGAAGGTATGAAATATGATGGGATGAAAACAGACATACGAGTTTCATCCGAAACAAAGGTAATGAAAAAAGTGAAAAAATAGCCTACTGTTTCCTATAGTAAGTGTTCAACAGTATGATGTAGCCTACTGTTTCCTATAGTAAGTGTTCAACAGTATGATGTAGCCTACTGTTTCCTATAGTAAGTGTTCAACAGTATGATATAGCCTTACTGTATGATGTAGCCTACTGTTTCCTATAGTAAGTGTTCAACGGTATGATGTAGCCTACTGTTTCCTATAGTAAGTGTTCAATGGTATGATGTAGCCTACTGTTTCCTATAGTAGGTGTTCAACGGTATGATGTAGCCTACTGTTTCCTATAGTAAGTGTTCAACGGTATGATGTAGCCTACTGTTTCCTATAGTAAGTGTTCAACAGTATGATATAGCCTTACTGTATGATGTAGCCTACTGTTTCCTATAGTAAGTGTTCAACGGTATGATGTAGCCTACTGTTTCCTATAGTAAGTGAACAACAGTATGATGTAGCCTACTGTTTCCTATAGTAAGTGTTCAACGGTATGATGTAGCCTACTGTTTCCTATAGTAAGTGTTCAACGGTATGATGTAGCCTACTGTTTCTTATAGTTAGTGTTCAACAGTATGATGTAGCCTACTGTTTCCTATAGTAAGTGTTCAACAGTATAATGTAGCCTACTGTTTCCTATAGTAAGTGTTCAAGGGTATGATGTAGCCTACTGTTTCCTATAGTAAATGTTCAACAGTATGATGTAGCCTACTGTTTCCTATAGTATGTGTTCAACAGTATGATGTAGTTAAACTCATCATAGATACCAGGATTGAAATTTTGTATTTGCGCCAGACGCGTGTTACGTCTACACAAGACTCATCAGTGACGCTCGAATCAAAAAAAGTTAAAAAGGCCAAATAAAGTACAAAGCTGAAGAGCATTGAGGACCAAAACTTCCTAAAAGTTTTGCCAAATACAGCTAAGGTAATCTATTCCTGAGGTAGAAAAGCCTTAGTATTTCAAAAATGTAATAGTTCCAATATTATTAAAGAGACAGTTTATCACTGGAAAAGAATTGTAAGAATAATTTGGTTTACACTACACATACTAACAACCTTTCAAGTAGCAATGAGCTTAAATGTTATACCAGTTATGTTGATCTGTGAGTTTGAAGAGATAAATTTAAACTGCAATTTTGTAATTACATTCTGGTCTATTGGTTTGTTGAAAGGAAAAAGCCTTTTGAATATGCACTGTAAGAAAATATTTTAAAAAACCTTCCGACTTAAAAGACTGCAATTTTAAGCCAAAATGACAGAAAATAATGAATAATAACAACAGTTTTTCAATTGAGTTAGGTTTTATTTTTTAGGCCCTTTACTTACCTGTTAGTTTAATCATAATGTTTTATCATTATTAGTGTAAACAACCCTACCTTTGGAAAAAATTATACACTCAAGGTTACAATGTATGTAAAAATTTCACCTTAATGTAAAATTTATAACACGTAAATACATCTATGCATTAGTTGTAACAAGAGGATGTGGATTTGTTTTTGGTTAACCTCTAGAAGGACATTAAAATTTATAGATTTGACTGTGATATGATTATTTCAGAGAAACAATAACTGATTTCTACTGTAATAAACATATATATTTATCTTGACCTTTAATTTTATAAACAAACTTCCTTAAAGCAATGTTTTATCAGTTTTCTTCTTCCTGTCAAAAAAAACCCCATATATATCAGTTTTTGGTAAATTTCACTGTATGCTTTTTCCAAATATACAATGTAGGGAATATTTATACATTGTATATCCAGAACTACTGTTTGTTGTTGTGATTGAATTTAACAATGCTGTCTATTGTTCATATAATATAGGTGGAAGAAACTGCAGTGCCAAATCAAAACAACTGATCTTTAGATACATGTACTCAATGACAATAGATATAGGAAGATGTGGTATGAGTGCCAATGAGACAACTCTCCATCCAAGTTACAATTTATAAAAGTAAACCATTATAGGTCAAGGTACGGCCTTCAACACGGAGCATTGGCTCACACCGAACAGCAAGCTATAAAGGGCCCCAAAAAATTACTAGTGTAAAACCATTCAAACGGAAAAACCAACGGTCTAATCTATATAAAAACGTGAAACGAGAAACATGTATGAATCTCTATAAGTGTGACATACATTGTATTTCTGCAATAAATAATGCTTATACCAGAGAACCATTGAGCTGAACTCACTTCAAGTTTTAGTATGAATTCAGTCATTCAAACTGACTTAATTAAATATACCATGTACAACAAAAATTGTCTTATTCTTTACTTTGATATATGTGATGCAAAAGAGAAACTTAATATTAAAAAGCACAATAAAAAGAGAAGGCGGCTAGTTCCCTAATGTTAATTTTCCTTTTTGAGAGTAATGTTCCTTCTGCCTTTCTTAAACCAATCTGTGTATCTATTTCCTTACATGTTTGCTTTGTGAATGTCTTTAGTGATATCTTGGATTTTTGTATAATCTACATAAATTAATAATCTATTACAACATGTTACTAAAAATTTGACTGAAGCATTTTATAGATACAAATAAACAGCTGCGCCATGAGCGCATGATACGCCCGTCGTCTTGTGTGTGAATTTTTATGCAATAAGCATAAATAGTTTCTGACATACGGCGTGACATGCGAAAACCCCCTTTTTTTTTTTTACCAAAAACTCAATATCTATAAAATAAAATTTTGAATCAAAACCAAAAAGTATACAGATCTTTAGATTAATATAACTAAGAAGTGAGTAAAACTTTAAGCAATAATCATAAATCATTTTTGAGATATGGCGCGACATGTGAAAAAGCCCTCCCCCTTTTTTTACAAAATACTCAATAACTCAAAAATAAAATTTGGAATCATCACCAAAAAGTATACAGATCTTGAGGTTAATAAAACTAAGAAGTGTGTAAAGTTTTAAGCAATAATCATAAACTGTTTTTGAGATACGGCGCGACATGTGAAAAACCCCTCCCCCTTTTTAACAAAATACTCAATAACTCAAAAATAAAATTTTGAATCATCACCAAAAAGTATACAGATCTTAAGATTAATATAACTAAGAAGTGTGTAAAGTTTTAAGCAATAATCATAAATTGTTTTTGAGATACGGCGCGACATGTGAAAAAAAACACACACCTGTTTTAGTTACTAAGCCCCGTAACTCAAAAAGTTTTAATCTTATTTTCACCAAAAAGTATACAGATCGTTTGACCATCATAAGAAACAACTATTTTAAGTTTCATGAAATTTGGATAAGTCATTCTCAAGTTACGGTGCGACATGTTTACGCCGGACAGACAGACGGACAGACAGACGGACATTTGTATAACATAATACGTCCCGTCAAAAATTTGACGGGCGTATAAAAACTGGTTTGGAAGTTTGGCTGCACATGTAGAAATCTACAGAAATTTATTTTTATGGCCTGTAATATGTTTTCTTTATAGCTCACAGATAAAAATATAACCAATGTTAACTTATCGATGCTTTAAATTATGAATATCAATTACCGGTAATAATTGCAGTAGGAATTTGGAATATTGTCTACTTTGGTACTAACATTAATTTGATTGTTTTTAGTTTAATACATATCCAAACATATAAATATTGCTATCCAGTTATCAACAATTATGGTCCTGCATCAACAATACTTATATTTTGACGATGCATGCACATAGCCATGTTTTTCTCAAACAATTTATGTTATCACACAA